ACAAAACATCCAGGCTCTCTCTAACACTTATCACCTACGTGACCCTGGGAAGGTCACTTCCCCTCTCTGGTCTCAGCTTTCTTCCAATAAGATGCAGATAATAGAACCCAGCTCTCAAGATTGTCAACTGGATTAAAGACAGACTAGTGTTCACTCAGTCATGTCCAAGTCTTTGCGGCTCCATGGACTGCAGATGGTGACTGCAGCCATGAAATTAAAAGATGCTTACTCCTTGAAAGGAAAGTTATGACCAACCTAGACAGCATATTAAAAAGCAGAGACATTACTTTGTCAACAAAGGTTCATCTTGTCAAGGCTATGGTTTTTCCAGTAGTCATGTATGGATGTGACAGTTGGACTATAAAGAAAGTTGAGCACCGAAGAATTGATGCTTTTGAACTGCGGTGTTGGAGAAGACTCTTGAGAGTCTGTTGGACTGCAAGGAGAATCAACCAGTCCATACTAAAGGAGGTCAGTCCTGGGTATTCATTGGAAGGACTGATGTTGAAGCTGAAACTCCCAATACTTTGGCACCTGATGTAAAGAGCTGACTCTTGGAAAATACCCTGATGCTGGGAAAAACTGAAGGCAGGAGGAGAAGGGGATGACAGAGGATGAGATGGTTGGATGGCATCACCGACTCAATGGAGATGGGTTTGAATAGACTCCGGGAGTTGGTGATGGACAGGGAGGCCTGGCGTGCTGTGGTCCATGGGATTTCGAAGAGTCAGACACAACTGAGCGACTGAACTGAACTGGACTGTAGCCCACCAGATTCCTCCGTCCATGGGATTTTCCAGACAAGAATACTGGAGTGGGTTGCCACTTCCTTCTCCATGTGTTATGCGTGACACATAGAAGCCCACAATAAATGTTAACTGTTGTAATGGTGATTTTTTTAGAACATGTGCACGTTAACACACATACAGAAAACAGAATTAGTGACTGTGTAAGCTACCATCTTTATTACCATAACTTTCTTGTTCTTTTTTACCTATGGCAATGGCATACCAAATGCAGATAACTGTCTCCTTGAAAACTTTTATTTCAGTCACTGGGTTTCAAGACACTGAAGGTATGTCATGATATTACTATTACTGAATTTCATTAAAATCAGTCAACTCCTTCCAAAGTAATCAGAAAACAAATACAGCATGTCAACTGGCTTATTTCAAGACACGATCCCTTTGTTTTTCTTCACAGTCAAATAAAACAATCTCTGCAGCCATGAATGGTATCGGTGCGTATTTAGTGCCTTTCAGTTTGCAAAATACTTCCAAAGAAATGGTGATTTTTTTTTTCTTACAAGCCTTTGAAGCAGTGAAAAGAGATGAGGCTCGCTCTTTTTTTTTCTACACAAGGTCACAGAAACCTAGGGAAATGGTACCACTTCATGAAGGCAGTGAACAGAGTCAACTTGCATCAGTGCAAAGACCATCTGATCACTGTCACGTAAGCATCAAGTCTTGCTTGCTGGGCTCCACAGAAATTCCAGAGACTCACTCCTCAGAGCCTCCACCCAGTCTTCCAAGTTGCAATGGCCACAGAATTTTGTTTTTCTAATACAGGATTCTCTTACATGAAACCTTTATTTTGCAAACCACAAGCATGACAGTGTGACAGAGAAATGAAGGGAGTTAAGTCAACAGTGAGGCTGCTCCTTCCACCTCCAGAATCAAGACCCAAATTCAGAACCGCAGGTTTTTAAGCCCTGCAGGGACGGGGCTTCAAAGGTACTTCATAAACAGCAAATAATCATGTTAGTAACAAACAAGAAAAAGAAGCTACTTTGAAGTTACTTTTCAAAATTCAGTCACCTAAAAATAATGTCATGAAAGAGAAGCAAAGGAAAGACATTGTCAAGTACAGTAGCGGAGAATTTTGAAGTCTATTTGATTTATATTCATTTCTCCTGGGAAATGACTTCTAGGTTTGCAAATTCTGTTTGTATTTGATCCTATCTGATGTTTCATGGGCTGGCAGTGGGACTCAGCGTCACACAGGCCTTTACTGCAAAGCAGAATGAACCTCGTGGATGGTCCCCCAGGCACTCCACGGGCTCCCATCAGTCCCAAGCAGTGAAGGCTGGGCAGCTGGGACCTTCCCTCTATCCACATCCAGACGGGATTCTGTGCACGACACCCTGAGCAAGGTCACATCACTGACCTAGGCCCTGGCACTGACCTCACCACCCTCTCCCGCATCCCATCGTCAGGCATCACTGCCACTGCTGGTGAGAAATGTGTACTCCAAGTTTACAGCCCCACGTGTACTCAGCCCCAGTGTACAGCCCCACGTGTACTCAGTCTAAGTGTACAGCCCCACGTGTACTCAGCCCCAGTGTACAGCCCCACATGTACTCAGTCTAGGTGTACAGTCCCACGTGCACTCAGTCTAAGTGTACAGCCCCACATGTACTCAGCCCCACATGTACTCAGCCCCACGTGTACTCAGCCCCACGTGTGTACAGCCCCACATGTACTCAGTCCAAGTGTACAGCCCCACATGTACTCAGCATCACGTGTACTCAGCCCCAGTGTACAGCCCCACGTGTACAGTCCCACGTGTACTCAGCCCCAGTGTACAGCCCTACGTGTATTCAGCCCCAGTGTACAGACCCACGTGTACTCAGTCCAAGTGTACAGCCCCATGTGTACTCAGCCCCACGTGTACTCAGCCCCACGTGTACAGTCCCACGTGTACTCAGCCCCAGTGTACAGCCCCACGTGTACAGTCCCATGTGTACTCAGCCCCATGTGTACAGTCCCACGTGTACTCAGCCCCAGTGTACAGCCCCACGTGTACAGTCCCACGTGTACTCAGCCCCAGTGTACAGCCCTACGTGTATTCAGCCCCAGTGTACAGACCCACGTGTACTCAGTCCAAGTGTACAGCCCCATGTGTACTCAGCCCCACGTGTACTCAGCCCCACGTGTACAGTCCCACGTGTACTCAGCCCCAGTGTACAGCCCCACGTGTACAGTCCCATGTGTACTCAGCCCCATGTGTACAGTCCCACGTGTACTCAGCCCCAGTGTACAGCCCCACGTGTACAGTCCCACGTGTATTCAGCCCCAGTGTACAGCCCCACGTGTACTCAGCCCAAGTGTACAGCCCCACGTGTACTCAGCCCCACGTGTACAGTCCCACGTGTATTCAGCCCCAGTGTATAGCCCCACGTGTACTCAGTCCAAGTGTACAGCCCCATGTGTACTCAGCCCCACGTGTTCTCAGCCCCAGTGTACAGCCCCACGTGTACTCAGCCCCAGTGTACAGCCCCACGTGTACAGTCCCACGTGTACTCAGCCCCATGTGTACAGTCCCACGTGTACTCAGCCCCAGTGTACAGCCCCACGTGTACTCAGCCCCAGCGTACAGCCCATGTAGTCCCACATGTATTCAGCCCCAGTGTACAGCCCCATGTGTACTCAGCCCAAGTGTACAGCCCCACGTGTACAGTCCCACGTGTACTCAGCCCCATGTGTACAGTCCCATGTGTACTCAGCCCCAGTGTACAGCCCCACGTGTACAGTCCCACGTGTACTCAGCCCCATGTGTACAGTCCCACGTGTACTCAGCCCCAGTGTACAGCCCCACGTGTACTCAGCCCAAGTGTACAGCCCCACGTGTACAGTCCCACGTGTATTCAGCCCAAGTGTACAGCCCCACGTGTACTCAGCCCCACGTATACTCAGTCCAAGTGTACAGCCCCACATGTACAGCCCCATGTGTACTCAGCCCAAGTGTACAGCCCCACGTGTGAAGTGAAAAGTCTCTCAATTGTGACCTACTCTTTGCAACCCCTTGGACTATACAGCCCATGGAGTTCTCCAGGCCAGAATACCAGAATGGGTTGCCATTTCCTTCTCCAGGGGATCCAGGGGATCGAGCCCAGGGATCGAACCAGGGTCTTCTGCATTGCAGGTGGATTCTTTACCAGCTGAGCTACCAGGGAAGCCCCACATGTACTCAGCCCCAGGGTGCTCACAGTCCCATCAGAAATAATTTACTCCCAATCGCCTGGGGCATGAGCCCAAAATCTTAAGTTTTATAGACCCAGGATTACAACAGGGAACTCTGCTTTTAAAAGAGGAACTTGGGGGAAAAAAACTAAGCTAAAAAGGAGAAGACGACCATGAAAAGGAAAAGAGCAGGAAAAGACTGTAATTCACCACGAAAGAAAACGCGAGGACACAAACACGAAGAGCACACACGCGTGATGGGTGGACAGACCGGTCTCCGTGGTGGAGCTGCGGGGGCTGTGAGCAACGTCAGAAACCAATGCCCACTTCCCTGGAGGCTCAGCGGTAAAGAATCAGCCTGCCGACGAAGGAGACGGGTTCAGTCTCCAGCACAGGAGATCACACACGCCATGGAGCAGTAAGCCTGGGAGCCACAGCCCTTGGGCCTGTGCGCCAGAAGGCAGGGGTGCCCACTGCTGAGCCCAGGCACCCGGAGCCAGTGCTCCGAGACCACAAAAGCCACCACAATGGGACATCCGCGCACCGCCTCTAGAGAGCAGCCCCGCAAGCAAGCAAAGTGCCTGCATGGCAACAGAGACCCAGCACAAATGTAAATAAATAAAATTAAAAAAATAAACAGACACCAGCTTTCCAAGCACCCTGTGACTTCCTAGGTCATCTCAAGCCTTATCCCACGAGAGGCCAAAGTAGAAGCCGAAGGACCCATCCCACCTAACGGATGCTCATGTGAGCTCCAACACTGCCTGGTGATCCTACTTGAAGATGCTACAAAATAGGCCACCTCCTTCTCTGTCAACCAGTCAAGTCTTTTTTTTTATGGAAGTTTTATTTTTTATTTTTTTTTATTATTATTATTTTGGTCAGGCTGCAGGACATGTGGGATTTCAGTTCCCTGACCAGGGATCAAACCGGTGCCCCTGCAGCGGAAGCACAGAGTCTTAACCACTGGGCCAGCGGGCAGTCCCAGTCACATCTCTGAATAACCAAAACACAGAATAAAAAGGAAGCACTCCCTACCTTGAACACATCGAGTTGTTGATTAATTGTCTCCGTTTCCATGCCGACGGGGCCCTGAGACTCCTCAAGCTCCTCAGCCTTCTGGAGCAGAGTAGAAAACTCCTGGAGTTTGCTGTAGAATTCCTCCAGACGCACAATGGTCCCTTCGACCTGCTCTTTCCTGGCTTCTGCGCGGTCCCAGAGCTTGTTGCACTGTTTGCTTAAAGCCTCCAGGTCCCGCTTGATGCCGACGAGGTCAGGAGAGGCTTCCTCCGTGGCCAGCATCATCTTGCAGGTCTTATTGGCGTTGGCGTTGTTTGCGATGAGTGCTTCCAGCTTCTCCAGGAAGGCTCTGATGGCCTCCTTCTGCTTCTGCAGTGTCTCCGCGTCTCTCCCCACTGGGGCCATGCCGTCCAGCTCATCATCAAACTCCGCGAACTGAGAAAACATCTCTCGGATGGTGTTCTGGAAATGGCCAATGCCCTGAAGCTTGGTTTCTAAGAAAGAGCACTTGTCGTCCACCTGCTGGCTGAGGGCGCCATGCTCCTGCGCTAAGGTCTCCGCTTGGAGCAGCACCTCGGAGGTGCCCTTGGAGTCGGAGGCCTCCGCCACGAGGTCCCGGGCCAGCCCCTGGGCCAGCTCCACCTGTGACTTCAAGGTCTGGAGGGCTTTCTGCTGGGTCTGCAACACGGTCAGGGACTTGTTGCTGTGAGCCTGGGGCCCCAGGGAGTCGTGCACCGCGAGCTGGTCCTTTGCACTCTGAAGCTGCCGCTGAGCTTCTTTGGAAATTTCCTGGAACTCTTTAAACTTCTGGGCCATGTTCTCGAGGGAGAATTTCTTCCTGTGTACCTGCTCAGTGACCGTGTCCACCTTCTGGAGCAGGCGCTCCCTCTCCTCTGCCACTACCTCTTGGTCTGCCTCACAGACACCGAGCAGGCTGCCGGCGGCACCGCTCAGCTGCTCCACCAGCCCGAAATGCTGGTCCATCTCCTTCTGCAGGGCCTTCAGCTGGGCAAGGGCATTCTCCGTCTCAGCAGGATCCAAGCTGCACTTGATTTCCTCCAGGCTGCCTTGACATCTGTCTATCCACGGCCTGAGCGTGTCCACATGCTCTTTATACTTGAGGGCTTTCTCCAGCGTGTCCTTCACCCTGTCTTCTCTGTCCTTCACCTGCTTCTGCAATCCATCCCAGTTGGTTTTAAGAGTGTTCAGTTGTAACTGCAAGGCTACCTTCTCAGACCCTTGGGTTTTCAGTAACAGGTTTTCACCTTCTGCAATGGTTTTCTCATAAAGGTGAGACTGGGCGGTCAGCGTTTTCCTGAAATCTTTCTGATCTTTCGCTAATGACTCCAAGACCTCGACTTTGGCGGATATTGGGGGAGACTTGTTTTGTTCTTCCTTCTTGGTATCCAGCCAAGCCTGGAAATCTCTAGACATTTGCTGAAATTGGTGAGAGCTGGCACAGGCTGACTGAAGGTGCTCGACATGGGCCTCTAAAAAATGAAATCACAGACAGGTTTATTTTACATCAAAATGTTGAATGAACCTGTGAAAAGCCAAGGGAAAAACCACCAAATCAAAACACAGAATAATCTAAATGCAAAGACTACTAGCACTGACATTATGCAGAAAGAGAGGGTGGGAGGGCAAGAGAAGGGCTCTACAAGAAGGAGCGAGAGCTTCGTGGCCAGAAGCCACAGTCACCTCTATCCCAGGGCAGAGACGTGATTACTGCTCAAAGCTCCAGGTGATGCTGATAAACAATTCACCCCTTATCAGTTGTGACCTTTCTACCTCTGTGATTTTTCCCCACTTCGGCCACACAGCACACAGGATCTCAGTCCCTGGACCAGGGACTGAACCTGTGTCCCCTGCATTGGGAGTGAGGAACCTAACCACTGGACCACCAGGGACGTCCCCACCTGTGTAATTTTACCCACCGCTTGGGGAAAATAAGGCAGTGTGCAGCGACTACAGGGTTCTGGGTTTCAATCAGCCTGTTATGAGCTGCAGGGCCCGGGGCGAATGACGGAAGCCCAAGGTCTCATTTCCCCAAGTCTGAGCCAGCAACGCTGACAGAAGCTGTCTCGGGAGTAAGGGGATCATGCACGCACTTGAGCTGAACGCCAGTGATGGAGCAGGGCTCCTGACGACAGTCATCACCACTGTGATCGTCACAGCTCACATCTGCTACCCATACCACGTCAGAATCACGGAGCAAGCCCAGAATGGTCACTCTGATCAGTAAACAAATCCAATCCATTATTAACAAACATAAACCTGGTGCCGAGTGTTCCTCTGCAGACACACACAGAAGCCCGTGAACTCTCCTCTGCCCGGCCCTTCTCCGCCCAGAAACACCGTGGCCTCAAACCACCCCCCGGCCCAGAGCCACAGGCCCAAGGACAACAGCCGCGGCAGGCGCCAGAGGAACGGAGCAGGGTGGCTCTCTCCCTCGTGTCTCTCGGGGGAAGCTCCCATGACAGAGCCAGATGAACTAACTGCGGGCAAGAAAATGACACCAAGCCTTTTTGATAACTGTTCATCTCCTTTCCTGATGAAACAAAACTGACATAGCACAAACGTCTACACTTCTAAAAAATCAATTCTTCTATTTTTTTTTTACTATTTTCTTTAAAATGAAGTATAGGTGACTTATGAAGTTGCATTAACTTCCGCTGTAGAACACAGTGATTCAGTTTTACATATATACACATGCTTTTTCATATTCCTCACCATTATGGTTTATCCCAGGACACTGAATACAGTTCCCTGTGCTATATAGCAGGACTCTGTTGTTTATCCATTCTGTGTTATAGCCTATGCTAAACCATAATGGAAGAGTATTTAAAAAGAATGTGCATGTGTGTGTGTGTATAAAACTGAATCACAGGCTTCCTAGGTGGCTCAGTGGAATCCACCTGCCAAGGCAGGAGACTTGGGAGACACAGGTTCAATCCCTGGGTCGGAAAGATCCCCTGGAGGAGGTCAGGGCAACCCACTCCAGTCTTCTTGCCAAGAAAACCCCATGGACAGAGGACCCTGGCAGGCTACCAGTCCATGGGATCACAAAGGGTCAAAGATGACTGAACACACACTCATAACTGAATCACCCTGCTGCGCAACACCAAAATTAACACAGCACTGTAAATTAACTACACTCCAATAAAAACATTGTTTTAAATAGTATGCATCTGCTAACCTCACACCCCACTCCATCATTCCCCTATCCCTCTCCCCTTGGCGGTCTCAAGTCTATTCTGTCTGTGATTGTGAAAAGCAATCGGGGGCACCTGAGATTTGCCCGGGCCAGCTGTGCGGCGGCCGGCACCCACCCTGTATCCATGCCCCTGGATCTGCACAGACCCCACCCCCACGCCGTGTGCCCACCAGCCAGGACCTGCCCTCCGCGTGCCCGAGACTGCCTCCTCACACGCGCTTCTCACTGCGGGCAGGTTCTCTGTAGGGGCCTGATTCCCCCGACAGCTTGGAAATGGCTCATTCATGGATCCCGCTTTCTCGGACATACGTGCATTCACAGAAGACATACAAACCTGCTTTTTGCTCCAGATCCTTAAACGACTTTAAGACGCCGTCCAGCTGCCGACTGAGCTCGGCTCTCAGGTACTCTTCTCGGACCAGGGCCGCCAGGTCCTCGCACAGGGCCTGCGCCGCTCTGATCCGCGTCCCCTCCTGCTCCACCGCCCGCTGCAGCTTCTGGGCCGTTTCCAGCTGCTGGCTCATGGCATCGGGGTGTGCGCCACCGGCCACGCTGCTGCTGAGCTGATCGTCCAGGCCGGCCAGCTTCTCGGATAGGCTTCTCAGCAGGCTCTGATACTGCGTGCTCTTCCCAACGGCCTGGTCGATACGGTCACACCTGTCCCTCAGCTGGCCCGTGAGGCTGTCCCATTTCTGGGTCACGGCCGCCAGCTGCTCCTTCACTATCCCGTGGGAGGACGGGTGCTCCCCGGGTCTGTGCAGGATGCCCCGGCCGGCCGCGGTCAGCTGCTCGTACTGCGGCTTCCTGGTATCGAACTCCTGCAGGAGAATCTGAGAGGAGGAGACAGCGAGGGTAAATGAGCACACAGACGGCCGGAGAACGAGTCAGAAAACATGGCTTTACGTTTCCACGCAGAAATGACAGTTAACTATCTAGCTTTTATTTTTGCTTTTGCTACTGCTTTCCTAGTTTCTATTTCAAAGGCAGTGCGTTTATCGTAAGCTAAACCCAAAGGGCAATGCTGCTTCACTGAGATAACACTTGGTCTAAAATAACATCCCCCGAAGGGGCAGAAACAAATAAATATTTTTGCTAGTCTGGGGAGAAGGAACAGCAATTCATGCACAAGTTCTCACACACAAAGGGAAACACTGTGTTTAGACAAGTTCACGTCACCCTAGCACCAAATCTCATTTTTTCTACTTGTCCTTTTCTTTTTACAGGAATTTTTTGAATGCTCTATAGCATTTTACACCCAAAAAAAAAAAAAAGCACAGTGATAACAGTATTAGGCTATACCGACTCACGGTGCAATGATTTACAAAGATTTCTTTTTAAACCTAAGATTGACATGTAGGCTTTTTTGCAAAGATTTACCCAATAAATCACATCTTTTAAAGTGTGCGGGCTCACAGAGGCTTTCACTGTAAAATGAATGATCTCCAAATTGTCCTCCTTTTAATGTAACATTTTGTCTATCTCTGGGAGACCATGGACAAACACTTCTTCTCAAATGTTTCTTTACCTCTTTTGCTTACAGTCTATTCAGATGAAGAACGTACAAGCCTAGAACAGTATGTGACTCAACTGCCTGGACTGATTTGTATTTTCAGAGCATGGATCAGCCTCCCCGCACTAAAACCACCACCCGCACCGAAAGACGCTCCCTGAGACCCCAGCGGCACTCCTACGATCACATCTGACTCACATTTTATTAGTTTTTTCCCGTGTGGATTTATCTGCTCATAATCAGATGAGTCTAAGTAACCTTGTGGGTCTCAAGGTTCCCTCTCTGCCTCCCTTCTTTCTCCTCCTCCTCACCTCGGGGCTGTTCTGAATGACCTTTATAAGTTTCATTATCTACTACCACAATCAAAATGAATCAAACTCCAAAGGAGTCATTTCTAAACAACATAACTAGCTTCTCATAAAAATGCTATTGCTTATGCAATCACATTAATACTTCAAAGAAGGTCCTCTTTAACAGGGGTCTATACAAACCACAATATGACAGACGGTCAAGGGACCTGACCATCCAATGGGCTCAGTGGGCCATCAGGGGCGCTCCGGAGCTTTGCTCCTCTGAGGTCCCATCAGCATCACACTAGCACCTCACGGGCGTCTGATAGATCACAGAGGCCCACCCGGGCAGGCAGAGCACACACTGTCCAACGCTAAGTTATTTCTCATGAAACCACCCATCTTGTTACGTCACGGAGACTCACCTGCACCTGCTGCCTCTGCGTGTTCAGCATATTCGGGTCAATTGACAAGGGCCCAAGGACACTGATCATCAGTTCTTTTTCCACAAGCCACTGTTTTAACTGAGCCTCCACAGTCTGGAACTGCGTTAGATTATTAGAGGATTCTTCCAGCTTTTGTTGTCTATCAACTGTCAACTGATTGAGTTCTTGCCACTTAGAATCTTAAAAAAAAAAACAAATAAAGGATGCAACAGAGGTTAGGTTTTTGTACATTTAACACAACTATATCTTCATGAAGATTACATAACAGAATTCAAAAGGATTCCCAATGGCTGTCATTCCACGCTCATGACTCTCCTCATATAGTCTATTAAAAAGCCTGACCTAAGGGTTCATTGCATTTAACAATACAAACTTTATGGTCCTGAAGGTTGTATGTCAGCTGAAGTATAAGAAAAATGAATTTGAATCTGATTTTGGAAGATGCTGTAAATTATGGGATACTCCTAAGAAACCTCACTCCTTCTAGAAGTCCTGCTGAGTTTGTTTATTCACCTAGAACTGACCTACTAGAACAATGAACACATGTCCTTTTCTTTAGTATCAAATCGTCAATGACCAGTTCGAGGTAAGTGACCCCCAAGTACGTGTACCCACGGCTGCTCGGGAACTACACCAAGAAGTCTCACCAACCCTTTAAATTCAATATTGGAAAAGAAAAAAAAAAGCTGTGATATTCCTATCTGAGTGGGTAGATTTTTCCAGCTTTTAGATTTTTCTTGAAGGTTCTTCTCTCATACATCATGAGATGCAATAGTTAGATTTTTTTCACGACACTCCTAAGTCCTTGATCACCAAACCTTAAACCCAGTCCTTCCATTCCCAACACCCGAACTCCAAATGGGTCCCAACCCTGTTTCGCCCAGACCAGTGGTTCTCAAACTAGAGCTACATCAGAGACCCCTGGAGTCTGCTCACACCAGACTGGGCCCACTCCAGGGACTAAGGAGCAGGTCTGAGTGAGGCCTGAAGGTGCATGTATAACACAGCCCGGGGTGCTCAGCTCTCGCTGCCAGGAGCGCGTCACCTGCACCCCCAGCCCACCCAGTTTACCGGGCCCCACCGCCACCCGGGACCCTCAGCTTCAGGGAACCTGTTCCTAAATAATCTCCCTTAGACATCACTCGACACGTCACTCCTGGGCCCAAACCTCTCAATATGTCACCCCCACGAGGCAGACGGCAAAATCTAACCACCTCTGCGTGACCTGCAGAGGTGCCCCAAACTGGCCCTGTCTACTCATCCCAGAGTGTCTGTCCGACTCTCATCTGTGCCACTGACCTCACACCCTCTTCCAAGCTGGGCGGGCGCACTCGGGCCCTTCTGCCCACATGCTCCATCCTGCCTCAGGACCCACTGGGTCTCACCCTCTGCTAGGATGCCTGCCTGCAGGCAGACATCGGCAGACACCCCCGCCCAGCAGACAGAGCCCTTCCTGAAGCCCAGAGATACTGACCATCCCTGAACACCAATCACTCCACAATCACAGAAGCTGTGATAAGCTGTGACAGACTGCTTTTCAGCCAGCAGAATATACCACAGAGCTGCTTTTCCTATAACCCAACCCCTGAAACCTTCCCTAAATGACATCATTCTATACAGCCTGTTCTAGTCAGTCACAATCTGACAGCAAAACAATGCAAGTAAACATAAACGAAGAAGGAGAAATATCAAGATCTCATCAGGAAGCTTTTTGAAACATACATTCCTCACTCCCACCCCTGTTTTAAAATGCTTTGATAATATTCTCCCAAGTAATTCTGATACTCTAGGCGACAGTCACTGAAATAGGGCCCAATTAATTATAAAGCAACAAGAGTTTCTATCAAAATAAACCTTTCAACATTAAGATCTTTTAGGATGCTTCTTTTTTTTATTGCAATAAGCTGATTTACAATGTTATGTCCGTTTCAGGTGCACAACAAAATAAATCAGCTACACGTGTAAGGATGAGTCTTATTAAACTGCAACGTACTTCAAAACATCTAAGTTCATCAGAGCACATCTAACTCTAAAGAAAGGCCAAGGTTTAGATAAATATAACGGAACAACTGACAGTGAAATGATGTTTGTGACGCGGTAACACACTCACTGCGTGCCAGTGTTTGTCTGAGCTGCACACACACCGACTCACTGAATTCTCCAGACAGCACTATGACGTGCAGAGGATGACTCACTGTCTTACACTCATTTCAGTATCATCACAATAAGGAAAGGGGGTGATACGACAACAGGCACTGGGGAGGAAATTCTGCACCTCCGAGAACGGAGCACGTAGGGACAGGCTGGGAATGTTCACAGCACCCTTCATGAAGAGCGAGCCTCGGCCCCGTGGGGAGCGGCCTCCAGGGGCCCGTCAGGAGAGCGCCCGGCAGCATGAAGCAGAGGCTGGCAGGGTCCCCCCGGAAACTCCGTGGCAGAAAAGGGCACCCACCTTTTCCAGAAAAATAAATGAAAAGGACTCTCTACACTAAAATATAACCAAGCATAAAAAATTAGAAGCACCCAAAGTCTAGCTAAAAAAAAAAGACTGCAAAGAAAACATGTGACCTGGTGCACAGCGCTGTATTAACTAGTATCTACCTTCTTTGTAAATATAAATTTTGTTACTGTGTTTAGTGAGAAAAACAAAAGATATGCCAAGGCCCAGCCCCAGACAACATGAAATGACACTTCTGAAATTGCAAAAATAGATTCTGAAATGTGGAAGCAAATCTCAAAGTCAGGGAGACTGTCGGATAAATTTTTTTCTGATAAAGATTATGATTTTTTTAAAAATGCCTGGGCTTCTGTTCGAGGCCTCTGGTGTAAGTGGTGACGTACCTATATCCGTCAACATCTGCTTCCACCTGGGGGCCTCCGGAGCGTCTGGGTTCTCCTCCAGCAGCTCCGTCAGCTTGTCTTTCAACTCCTGTACTTTGTTCACATTTTGCTTCAGTTCTGCCTCAAACAACTAACGAGGAAATTTTAAAAAGTAACTGCATTAGAGTATGGCAACATCAAAAGACAAAGACACAATTATGAGAGAGCACTCTTTTCCTTTAACATGACCAAAGTAAGGGAAAATATCCATGGTTAGAGGTTGAAGTGAGTGAGGACCCGATCCAGGAGTCAACTATATTTTCTTTTCCTCTTTGTAACTAGTCTTCAACTAGCTGATAAAAGAACCCCAAAGAGGAACATGGGAACTCACCCCGCCACCTGGGAAGAATTTCATATATTCTCAAATCCCTTCGGAAAAAGGAAGATGACACCACTAAGACTGTAATTAACCAAAAATCAATCTCGAGAGAGGTTGTAAGATTTGAGAATCTACTAGTGAATGAGCAGCATTTTGGATAACATATTATAGAGCTCAAAGATAAGTTAGTCAACTGGAGACATTTTGCCAGTGCGGCCAGTGTACAGAACCATTTTTCTAACCCTGACAGCTGTAGAAAGAAATACTATCTATTAAAGAAAGGGAAAGCATGAGCTCCCCTATTTTATGCTGGACAGAACAGACTTCTAATACACCTAGCCCTTAAGTACATCTTTTCCAACAAGGACTGGCTAAAACCCCAGACTTGAGCTGGAAAGTCCAAGTTGCTTGCACCCTACAGCTCACTCATCTTTATAACCTCTGTGGGTAAAAACAAGTGACTGTTAGGATCCATCTCTACAGAAAGGCACATGCAACAAAGCTGGCCCACGACGTGGGGACGGTCACAGAGCAGGAAGCCAGAACCAGCCCGTGAGCCCGAGGGTGCGTCCTGGGCACTGGTCCCTCCCTCGCACCTCCCGTGGATGGACCCGCAGACGATACCTTGTTCTGTTCGACCTGGCTTTTCACAGCCTCGGTGTCCGTAGGCGTGGGCGCCTGGTGCCACTTTGTGGCAGTGCTGCCCATGGTCTGCAGCCACTGCATCATGGCGCTGGACTCCTCCTGAGCGTTCTGCAGTCTGGAGAGCTTGGTGCTCAGCTCGCCTATTTTGTCCTTAAGCAAGAGGCCAAGGTCTTCATAGCCATGGCTTATGTCAGTCATATCCTTTTTAATGGATGCTAAGCCTAGATGTAAGAAAAAAAATTAATATTGACACATTTTCAGGGTATTTAGAGCTCCAGAAATAAAAATTGGTTTTACGTAATATTTCCTTCTATTGGGTTGGTCAAAAGTTTGTTAGGGTTCTTCAATAAGACGTTACTGAAAAGCCAGAACAAACTATTTTGGCCAACCTGACATGTGGTCAAGATTAAGTTTACTATGATAAAGTCATAGTGTTTAGAACTAAATGTCACTATCATCTTACAATGCTACTTCATGACCCATACACACAGCGTAATACCAGTGAAATGAGATATTTTAAATGGAATAAACTACCCAAACCATGAAATGTTACATACTAATTCCTCAGGTATCAAATTAAAAAATATCTCAAACGATGTTATCCGAAGTGAGAAAATACCTCAAATTAACCCAAAATAAGGAAACATAAACCAAATGCCAAACTGAATGACCAGACTTTACCCTCAAATGCACGAAATTGCATAGAATGTTACATAAATATGTTATTTATGGAGAACATGATTATTTTCATACCATTTTAATTCAAAATTTGAAATTTTGATAGAACTATTTTTATTCCTACAAAGATTTTCTCTTTCTCAAAAAAAAAACAAAAAAACAAAACCAAGTTATTAAATCAAGAAGCATTTAAAGCTACTATTTACCTTTATTTGCCAAAATGTCCTGAGTATCTGTGGCTGTTCCTTCACCATTTAATATTACTCCACCTGCAAAAATATTAAAACTGAAGTCACCATAGACTTCTGTCATATTGCATGTGTATTAATAGCAGGTGGCATTAAAAAAAATAGGCGCTCAGTCGTGTCACACTCTTTGCAACCCCATGGACTGTAGCCCGTCAGGCTCCTCTGTCCATGGAATTCTCCAGGCAAGAGTACTGGAGTGGGTTGCTATTCCCTTCTTCAAGGAATCTTCCCCACCCAGGGATCAAACTTTCCTGAGTTGCAGGCAGATTCTTTACCATCTGAGCCACCAGGGAAGCCTCGGTGGCATTAAAGCAAACCCCATAAACAGTAATTATTTTAAAACATTATTATATTTTAAAATTTAAAATACTGATTCAATTTCAAAATCAAACGAAGGTTTAAAAGATCAAGCTATGTCCTCTCTTCTGTATAAAATTTACTCCTAAAGTCATAACATGATCAATTTAAACTCCAGAGTTTCAGAAACTGTAGATTACTGATACATTAATCATTAAACTATTCATCTGTAAGACAATTCTGGGGTGATAACTGCTTTAAAGCTGAAGTTATTTTAGTGATACAGTCACTGAAGCACAGAAACCGGTTACAGCGTGTATTGCTTGAAGCATGAATGCCTGACGGACAGAAGAACATCCACCTCAATGTAAGGAACTGGAACTGTATGCTGCAGTGAGTCTTTTCATGGGTTTACTGGAGGCGGACTAATGTAAAAAGACATGAAAGAAACCCCACTGAATCAATGCAGGGAGGGGAGGTACAGAAGCTGGAGCACTGGCCCTGGTGTCCGTCCCGCCTGAGCTCAGACCAGCCCACTGATGACCCCGTGGGTCTGCATCCAGCCCTCCCAGGAACTGGGGCACTAGCCCTGGTGTCCGTCCCGCCTGAGCTCAGATCAGCCCACTGATGACCCCATGGGTCTGCATCCAGCCCTCCCAGGAACTGGGGCACTGGCCCTGGTGTCCGTCCCGCCTGAGCTCAGATCAGCCCACTGATGACCCCATGGGTCTACATCCAGCCCTCCCAGGAGCTGGGGCACTGGCCCTGGTGTCCGTCCCGCCTGAGCTCAGACCAGCCCACTGATGACCCCGTGGGTCTGCACCCGCCCTCCCAGGAACTGGGGCACTGGCCCTGGTGTCCGTCCCGCCTGAGCTCAGACCAGCCCACTGATGACCCCGTGGGTCTGCACAGACACATCCAGCCCTCCCAGGCGCTAGGGAGAGGAAGACCTGGCTCATGAAACCCCAGTGGGGATTAAAGACAGTCACCCTACTGCCTAGAAACAGGAACTGCTCGGTGAGTGGTAGTAATTATTTCTGTTTAATTCTATAAACATCTAGCATCGCTATCTTTTTCATAATCAAAATATTTTTAAAAAATCAAGTAAGACTTTCTCATGTGAGTACACCTTGGCTCTCTCTCCAAAACACATTTCCCCCAACTAAACACATGAGAACAAGCCTGAACAAAAACACTTAAATATCTGAATCTTTATCTAAGTGTTGGCCCCTTAAAAAAAAAAAAATCACACACCATGGTGTTTCAAATGAAGTGAAAATGCCCTGTAGAAACTCAAGATTAATTCCTATCCTGCCTGGGAGTTGTTAAAGAGCAGGGAAAAAAATGTTTTTTGCTTACTACAAATACAAAGAGGACATGAAGAACTAATATAAAACACCACAGAATTCCTTCCCTTTAAAAAAAAAAATCAAAACCTTGACATTTCAGGAAATCTGATTATGAGAGAAAGGAGCGATCATCACACACATATACTGTCAGTATTGCCTGAAATGGGATTAATAGAGCAGAATAAACTGTGGGGGGAGAGGGGCCCAGCTGAACGCCAGCCTCACAATGGGGACAGTCGGCGGTGGAAAGAGCAGATAAACCAGAGGATCCTCAGAAACCCTCAGAATAAAGATGCGAGATCTGCCTCAAGTCTACTCTTGGATTATTTCAAACCTGATAGTGACAACAATATAAATATGCCTTAAACTTAAAACCCTATCTACAACTTAAATTTTAGAACCCTTATTTATATAAGACTCTCCCTTTCTGTTGAGAAGCATGATAAGACTGTGATTCAGACATGCTGGCTAACATAAGACAGGACTGTTTTCTTTGGGAATAAAGGAATAAAGCAGATGGGAATAAATTAAGAGAGGTCCACTTGACAAAAAGAGAAAAAAAAGCAAAGCCGTTTCCTCCCCTTACTTCCTTCTTTCCCAGGAGACCAGGCACATTTCTTTATCAAATATTTCAAATAGAATTTCTACATTTCCATCAATGAAGGTAAAAACAAAGAAACTGGAATCTAATCTTTCCCCTTTCCCAACATAATGCTCCTTAGTCTTACAGATGAATTTGGCTACATTTTAAATTGCAGGGAAACCTAAGAGATCTGAAATCTGAACAGTGCAGACACTTTTCCTGGCAGCATTTAGTGTGTTTAGACATGTCATATTTCTTGTCACTTCCCCTTTGCATTTCTGAAGTTATCTTACGCATTAATTAAAAGAAATAACATACACACATGAAATAAACACGGGTGGATCCAACTCTTATGGGTCTTCCCACAAACACAAACAATGCACATACCTGATTTAACAGCTGCTATGGCCTTCGCGGGGGTTGTCACAGCACTTATCAAGTTACATAGTGAGTTCCCACTGCTGCTGACTTTCTGAATCTCTGGTGTTTTTAAGCTCCACTTCTCTTGTAATTTCTTGAGATATAAAAATACATTATTTTTCAGTCTTAGTAATCTTTTCCAAGTTACACATTATAATTCAGGGTCTTAAACATATCTTAAAACAGTGACGATTGCGGCTTCTGACTTATGGGAGAGTGGATGGAAGAGAAGGACAGCATCTCTATTCACTTCAACAGCCCAGGTGACTGTTAGCACTATTGGTAGTGAGGAGTGGGGCCAGGTCCATCCTGAATTCTGCCTCCAGCCACAGTGGAAGCTGGGCTACCCCCAGCTGCCATGAGTTCCAAAGTAACTGTCAACTGTAAGTCTGCAAACTGTACTAGGCCACAGACAAGCTACAAGAAGAAATGTACTAGAAACTGTTCTTAAAAATGTAAATTCAGAATTCCATTTAATAGTGAATTTTAATTATCAAAATCTCAATGAACTTTTTAATATCTAAAACTCATCCTATTATTTTCTTCCAGCACTGGAATCAATAAACAGAACATATACTTTTTAACTTTAAATAGTATATAACAAAGGAGATTCAAGCAACCCAACAAAATTTTAAAAATAAAAATTAGAATACATGATGAGCTTCAAACATACAATAAACAGTTGGAATAAGTATAAGGACAAAAGAAAAACAATAAACGTGCATATGTTAAATAATAAGATTCAAAGTAAAAACACCTCTATTTTTATATAAAGCATATAAATGATGAATAATTGAAATACTCATGTATATTTACTCAAATTATACATCCCTAAAGCTATCACAAAAATAATAAAAATAATGAAATCATAGAAAGGCACTAGATAAATACCATTTAAAAGCAAACAAAAATAATGGTAAAACTTCGGTGATTTTTAAAAAATACACAACTCCACAATTTGGAGTAGAAATCTTGCCACAACCAGTCCTAAGTTTTAGACCTGAGTCAGATGACAAAATATTCAAATAACTTCTATCTTCAGATACTGGTTGGAGTGATTATATCCAAACTAGGGTGAAATGCAAAACTGAAGAAAAGCACCTCTTATTAACACTATGAGAAACAGTATAAAAAAACAAGTGAAACTAAGTGGAGACTGGGGGGAAGAAACCTGGACCACTCGGTAACTCACTAAGGCGTCTCCATAAAAAAGCAAGCTGACTGCAAGTCTGTGTCCTCTAAAGGTTCGGTGAAACCCATGTCATGATTCCCAAATTTCACCAAAATATACTGTATATTCATGAAGATCTAACATGAACAGGAAGCCTCTATTCCTATGAAAAGGAAACCTGTCATTCCTAACATTGGCAAATGAGAACTTAGTATCAAATACAGACACTGATTCACCTTAGTTTCTTCCAAAGATTTCTGCAAATCTTCTGCACCAAAAGAAGGCTGCACAACGGGAACTCTTTCTGTGGTTTCTTTTATCCATGATTTTAATGATTTAACCAGGACTTGAAAGGCATCCATCTGTTCTTGACAAGAAGATACTGCTTCTTTCCTAGATCACAAACATTGACGAACTTAAGCCACAAAGGGAGAGACTCCAAAGGACTCATAACTAATAAACAAATTATTACTCTTATATCAGATTTAACATTAAGAAAAAAGATCTTCGCCCATGCACATGCCAACCCTGAGATATAGAAGGAAAGATTTCCTAGGTGCAAGGGAAATCAGTGAAGTCCTTGTCTGTTTTCAGTGGAGTCCGCAGACCAAGACAGAACGGTTATGATGTCTGTCACCCATATGGAACAGCTCTCTACAGCGCTACACAAACTCTAAAGGCTAGAGAAACATCTTTAACGTGATTTAGAGTCAGTATGCTTTCATCTGTCGGCTTTATACCGTGCAAGACGCCAGCAGGCTGAGAACCAGAGGGAAACCTGTCACCGACGGGAGGGAGACACAGCGCCACCCAGTGGTAACTGTGCCGCATTACAGGCCAAGCCAGCTCAGCCCAGCCCAGCCCAGTCATGTCTGACTGCGACGGCATGGGCTGCAGCACGCCAGGCCTCCCTGTCCATCACCAACTCCCGGAGCTTGCTCAAACTCATGTCCATGGAGTCGGTGATGCCATCCAGCCATCTCATCCTCTGCTATCAATTTAGTGAAGTAAACTGGTCCATTTAGTGAAAACAAACTGGTCTTCAATGGACATAAAACGCCAGGAGACGGCGAGGAACAGGGAAGCCTGGCATGCTGCAGTCCGTGGGGTCGTGAAAAGCTGGACATGACTTGGCAACTGGACGACAAATCGGGTCTTTGGAGAGGACAGGACTGAGTTTCTAAAACACAAGGTGAGACCTAGTGATGCTGAATTTTAATGGATGCCTCCCCCACAGGTACTCAGAAAGTTCCATGGTGAACTGTACACAGACCTCCCTGGACACTCAGCACAGGAGATGGAGGGCACCCGCCTGGCACATGCACAGCTCTGAGGAGAGGTCTGGCACCTGGACTTGGCCCCCGGACACTTTGTGGATCGTGTGTGCTCATGCGCAGGGGTGTGGATTATCAGCAGAAAGTCCGCAGCTGCTAAACTAATCACTGAGGACCACACGGTTTTACCACTGGGTCCATTGGACAGAAAAAACCTAGACTTCGCCCAGGGAAACCAAGATTATTTCTTCTGTGCAATGTGAACTAAATGGGATGGAAATGATAGCTCTGTGAGTGGTCCACACAGCATGCAAAAGTTTCAGGTAGAGAATTCTAAAGAAATAAAAAGAGTTGAAAGAAAAATGGCTACTTTCTATCTTTGAGGGGGGGAAGGGGAGGCTTCTGTAAGAACTCTGGCAAAACCAGATATATATTCTAAACTAGTACAAGATCAACAGTATATTTAGTAAAAGCTCAGTCACAAGGCTCACCCCTGTGCACCTTTTTACCTTAATTTAGGTTCAGTTTTGTATCTTATCTTGTTTGTTCATGGAATCATGTCTGACCTACAGCTCCTTAAAAACCAAACTATTTTTTTTTTAAAAGGCATCTAGAACTACATTGGATTGATGTATAGTTTCTGAACTGAGCCCAGAAAGCCATGGCCACTGGCTATCTTTCAAGGTTATTTCAAGGTTTTTGCTGAAGGTTTCAGACTAAAGTAAGTTTAGACAACTTTCAGTAAAATACTACCACCACCATGTTCCTCACATAATGCTTTCTACTTTCATATAAGAATAATTTACTTTCCCTCCTAAATAATTTAACAAAAATACACCTCATTTTAACAGCAAAAGAATTAGCAATATAGAAGTACTTATAATTGCCCTATGCTTATTTCTCAAGTTTCCAAAACTGTTCCAGGTATCTGTGTTAAGGAAATAAAAATCATGCATTCCAATTAGTATCAAGTGGAATAAAACTCCGTTTCCTAAGTGGTGCTTACTTTTCTTTGACAGTGTCCTCCATTTCCTTGAATTTCTTTGACAAATTATTTGTTTTTTCAAAAACCAGAGCCTTATCCCCTGGTAAGCCATGGCTAGAGATCTCCTTCAAGAGATTCTGCAAAACTTCCAGATCTTTCTTGCGTTCTAGCAATTCAGATGTTGATTCCTGCAAAACATCAGTATGAGATGTTGCTGCGGACACAGAGAACAGACTCGTGGCTGTCAAAGGGGAGGGGTCGGGGAGGGATGGGGTCGGAGCTTGAGACCAGCAGAGGCAGACTCTTATACGCAGGAGGACAAGCACGGTCCCAGTGGCATCCGATGATAAGCCACGATGGAAAAGAATATGGAAAAGAGCACACACATTGTATACATACACAAATACCCTTTTTCAACAACACGAAAGACGACTCTAGACATGGACATCACCAAATGGCCAACACCAAAACCAAACTGATTACATTCTTTGTGGCCAAAGGTGGAGAGGCTGTAAACAGTCAGCAAAACAGGACCTGGGAGCTGACTGTGGCTCAGATCACCAGCTTCTCAGCAAAATTCAGGCTTAAACTAAGAAAGTGGGGAAGACCACTAGGCCAGCCAGGTACGACTTAAATCAAATCCCCTAAGAATATGCAGCAGAGGTAACAAATAGATTCAAGGGATCAGAACTTGTAAACACTCTGCCTGAAACTATGGACGGATGTCTGTAACATTGTACAGGACACAGCAAACAAACCCATCCCAAAGAAAAAGAAAAGTGAGAAGGCGCAATGGTTATCTGAGGAGGCCTCACAAATAGCAAAAGGGAGAGGAGAAGTGAAAGGCAAGGGAGAAAGGGAAAGGCGTATCCAACTAAACGCAGATTTCCAAAGAACAGCACAGAGAGACAAGAAGGCCTTCTTCAATGAGCAGTCTATAAAACCAGAAGAAAACAACAGAAGGGAAACACTAGAGCTCTCTTCAGGGAAACTGGAGATACCAAGGGGTCATTTTGCCCAAAGATGGGCACAGAGCAGGACATACAGGGTAGACACCTAGCAGATGCTGAAGAGATCAAGCAGAGATGGAAAGAATACACAGAAAAACTGTGTAAAAAAGATCCAAATGAACTGGATGACTACGATGGTGTGGTCAGCCACCCAGAGCCAGACATTCTGAAGAGCGAAGCCAGGTGGGCCTTAGGAAGCACTGCTATTAATAAAGCTAGTGGATGCAATGAATTCCAGTAGAACTATGCAAAACCCTAAGGATGATACCATCAAGGTGCTGCATTCGATACGTCAAAAATCTGGAAGACCCAGCAGTGGCCACAGGACTGAAAAAGGTCAATCCTCATCCCAATTTCCAAGAAGAGTACTACTAAAGAATGTGCTAGCCATCAGACATGGCTCTCATCTCCCATGCTAGTAAGGTCATGCTTAAAATCTTGCATGCTAGGTTTTAGCATTATGTGAACCAAGAACTTCTAGATATCCAAGCTGGGTTTAGAAAAGGCAGAGGAACCAGAGATCAAATTGCCAACATTCACTGGATCATAGAAAAAGCAAGGGAATTACAGGAAAACACCTACCTCTTTTTTCATTGATTACACCAAAGCATTTGACTGTATGGATCATAATAAACTGTGGAAAGCTCTTAAAGAGATGGGACTACCAGACCACCTGACCGGTTTCCCGAGAAATCTGTGTGCAGGTCAGGAAGCAACTGTTACAGCCCTGTATGGAACCACTGGCTGGTCAAGGAAAGGAGGACGACAGGGCCATCTGCTGTCACCGTGTCTGTTTAATGTATGTGCTGAGCACATCAGGAGAAATGCTGGGCTGGGTGAGTTATAAGCTAGAATCAAGACAGGCAGGAGAAACATCAACAACCTCAGATATGCGGATGATACCACTTTAAGAGAAGAAAGCGAAGAGGAACTCAAAGAGCCTCTGATGAGGGTGAAGGAGGAGAATGAAAGAGCCAGCTTAAGATTCAACATTCAAAAAACTAAGATCAAGGCATCCAGCTCGATTACTTCACGGCAAATAGAGGGGAAAAAAGTGAAAGTAGTGACAGATTTCCTCTTCCTGGGATCTAAAATCACTATGGATGGGGACTGCAGTCATGAAATTAGAAAATGCTTGCTTCTTGGCAGGAAAGCTACGGCAAACCTAGAGAATGTGCTGTGAAGCAGAGACGTTACACTGCCAACAAGGTCTGCATAGTCAAGGCTGTGGTTTTCCCAGTGGTCATGTACATTTGTGACAGCTGGACCATAAAGAAGGCAGAGCACCGAAGAATTGATGCCTTTGAACTGTGGTGCTGGAGAAGACTCCTCAGAGTCCCTTGGACAGCAAGGAGATCAAACTAGTCAATCTTAAGGGAAATCAATCTTGAACACTCATTGGAAGGACTGATGCTCAAGCTGAAACTCCCGTATTTTGGTCATCTGATGCAAACAGCTGACTCACTGGCAAAGTCCCTGATGCTGGGAAAGATTGAGGGCAGAAGGAGAAGAGGGTGTCAGAGGATGAGATGGCTGGACAGCATCACCGATGCAATGGGCATGAACTTGGGCAAACTTTAGGAGATGGTGAGGGACAAGGAGGCCTCGCATGCTATAGTCATGGGATTGCAAAGGGTCAGATCTGACTGGGCGACTGAACACCACCACCACACACACACGTAAGACTGACTTAGTTTGCTGTACGGCAGAAATTAACACAACACTGTAAATCAACTAGACTTCAGTAAGAAAAATAAAACAATATAGAGGATGTTGCCAGGTCTTCAAAGGGCATCCCACCAAGTTGTAGGTATGGAGGCAAATGACCCTTCTCAGAATGTCACAGAGCGATCCTGCCTACGATAAAAGTGTAAACCAACATGTAGGCAGGCTGTCTGAAAGAGAACATGGTAAACTTTAATTTAAAAATGCACTCTACATTCTACTCTGTGAGTTCTGGAATAGGATATGCGTAGTACCTATGATATACAGAAAATGAGAGATGGGGTTCACTTCTGGGCAATGAGCAGAGGCCTCAAGGAGGAGATGGGCTCTGAAGCTTTTAAAGGAGAAAAGCACAGATCTTTTCCAATCCATCAGCAATTTAAATGATGACTGTTAATCGTAATTCTGCCCGTAAATGCTTGTCCTGGCTGCTGACATACTTGATCAGCCTTGTGAGTTCCACGGAAGACATACCTGCATAAACTGAGACAGCTCAGTAACATCCTTCCCAGGTACATCTGCCTCAGTGAGAGCCTGGGTTTTGGCTTCTAAGAACGTCTGGAGCTTTTCTGAGAGGTTCTCAAACCGCTCCACTTTGGTTTTGAGCTTCTCCATTTGGGCAAGTTTTTCTTTGTGTTTGTGACTTGCTTCTGAAAAGCGGAAGGCTAAGTCCTTCATCCGGGCCTGTAGCGAGGACGCGGTGGATGGGTCGGCAGTTTCCGTGAACCTGTTTACTTTCTCATTCATGGCATTTATGCTGCTCTGTCGCCCTGCAATGTCCTGCTCCAGCATCTGAAATGAACCAAAGACCACATAAGTAATAGAATGATGTTTACAAATAACGTCACAGACTTGTCAAGATTACTACTCGTAACAACAGAAGCTTGAGCCACCTGTGACTACGGAAGCTAACGGGAGTGACAGACCAGCTGATGGGGTCCCCCACCCCCAGCCCCCGCCCCGGCCAACCAAGGAGCCTGGAGACAGCTGGCCGGCTGCCCTGGAGACGCGGCAGGCGGCTGCCACTCTGCGACCCTGGGACCTCCCGCAGCCCAGGGATTAGCCACGCTCCTGGTTTTCCAAAGGCCAGACAACAAGACTGATCTGATTAACTCCTGGGCAGCGGGCTGAAGCCAGGCGAACAAACAGGGCCCGGTGCGTGAGATGCCCTCTGCCACGAGCGATGCTCAGGAAAGGTATAAGCAGCCCGTCTCTGCTCCTTCACACACGTGACCGTGCAAGCACTACATTCTGTGCTGCTATATACTTGGGAAACATCTCTTTACACCTTAAATTCATCTTAAATCTACCCATCTGTGGAGCTCATGACACTTTTTTCAATATAATTTTTAACTGAGATGTAACTGACATATACATATAACATTATGCTACAATAATGTTGAACAGTAAATCAGTTTCAGCTGCACGACATAACTGGGCTCCCCGATGCCCCAGCAGGTAAAGAATCTGCCTGCCGTGCAGGAGTCACAGGAGATGTGGGTTCAATCCCTGGGTCAGGAAGATCCCCTGAAGAAGGAAATGGCAAGCCAGTATTCTTGCCTGAAAACTCTCACGGACAGAGGAGCCTGGCGGGCTCCAATTCAATGGGTCTCAAAGAGTCGGACATGACTGAGCGACCAAGTTCACATGCGCATATAACATGAAGATTCAATAGTTGGAAATATTGCTAAATGATCACCACAATAAGTCTAGGTAATGTTCATCACCACACCGAGTTAAAATTTTTTTCTTGTGATAAAAACTTTTAAGATCTACCCTCTTAGTAACTTTCCTACAATTATTTTGAATTTACCCAATATCAAGTGCTATTTTAGCCAGAGAACCCAACAATATACAGGTTCAAGTTTCCAGGAAAAATAAGTCTGTTTTCCCTGAAGAAAATTAGAAGGTTATGCTTTCTGCCATCAAAAATGATGCTTACAACTCAAGACCATATGTTGAGGAGGATATATATAAATATATACAAAAGAGCAAATAATGTTACACTAACACTTTATATACAGGTTTTATGTCTGCGCATGGGAAAATCCAGGATATATGAATTTTAGGGATGAAAATGTGTAGTGAGGATGAGTGAAAGGCTTTGAGACATGCAGAGCATGAAAGCATCCACACTTTTTAACTAATCTGAGATGTTTTTACTGTCACTGAAAAGCGGTCTACTTGCTGTCTGGAGTCACTTACGATGCTTTTACTGATGGCATCCTGCAGAGCGCTAGAACTCAAGGGCAGCTGGCTCGGCTCCTGCAGGCAGCGCTCCACGCCCGCCATCCAGAGCAGCATCTCGTCCAGGCCGTCCTGCACGCTCAGCGAGCGGGTCAGTGTCATCTGCAGCCTCTCGTTCCGCTCGCTCACGGACGTGGACAGGTCATCATACCTCCCGACAATGTCATCTAGTCCAAAAGAATCAGGGAACGTCAACCACTAAGTGCTCTCTGCCCCCTTCCTTTGCAGAATACGCTATGGAGAACCACAAAATCCCCACACTAGAACTGGAAGAAGAAGAAAAGATTTAAGTGGCAAATTCACATTTGCACCATCAGAGCACCAACAAAACCTGAAAACAGAAAGCAAAGGTCCCAGTGAAAAATAGAAAGCTGGGGATTTTTGACTAGTGTATACATGTGTATATCATCTGGATTTGAAAAGAGCTTTTGGGATGTGTAAACATTTGAATTGTCCCAGAGAAATCAAAGAGTTCCAGATAGCCAATCTTTGGAATACACGGTGGTTTCTCAATGTGACATTTCAGATTAGCCACACTTCTTAACTACGTGGGGGAAAAAGGTGTCAGCTGCACAGAGCTGATTTCAAGGAAAAACATACACTTCTAAGGATTTATTCAGAATTCACCTTTACACATAAAAATTATTTCAATCTCTGTCTCTCTTGCTGTCTCTCATACACACACATACACATTTAGGTTTTGTCATACTTTGCATCCTAAGCAAAGTATTCAACTACATAGAAGGTGGCAAAGGCAAATGTTAATAGAAAACAGACAACAAAAATCCACATAAAATGAAGGAGGCTGAGATTGCGCTTCTAAGGTTAACACTGAATTTCTTTGATAAATTTAATAGCAGACAAAAAGGGAAGAAAAAAAACAAAGTTAACAGACCGACCTATCAGATGAGATTAGTTTCCATTGTGAAGACTTAAGATGCTTTAAAAAAAAAAAATCTTTCTGGCGAGTTCTCATTCGTATATAAAGCTCTACATTTTAACATCCTATACTCTATACTGCAGACCAATGAGAAATTCAAAGAACAATGGTTTTTAATGTATTCCCCTTTCCTTTCCTCCCCACAACCTGTCCCTCTGGAAAACAATCATCAATTACACTTAAGGTCCAAGAATCTGAAAAAAATTGTAATGATTTCTGAATGCCATCATCTGATACACTATAGAATGTTTCAATGGAAGAAAATATTTGACCTGAAACATCTCTATAAAAATGAAACACCTTATACTCTTATGTTTAGGCCACAGAACATATTTCATATAATTTTTGTTTGTTCTAATATTATATCATGGGAAGATAGTTTGCCAAGTTCTCACCTAACTGAGAGGTTAAACTGGGATGCAATAAGGAGTCAGTCATGCTCCTTTTATGAAAACACTAAGACGGCCCTGGGAAGGGGTGGGGAGGGCAGAGTCTCTGATATGCACCTAGGTGCCCAGGGCAGACAGGAGCAGGTTCGAGTTCACAACTCTGTGAAAGTCACAGAGCAGGCCACCCGAACTTCAGGTCACGACTGGCAAGTGAGCCGCTTCTCACATGGGCAGCTCTGTGCCTCCCCAGGGCACCATCCTGTCTGTTCTATCGCAGTAAGTGATGTCCCAGGCAAAGGCACTATTCTAATAAACTTAGCACACACAACGCTGTAAATCAACTATATGTCAATTAAAACTTTTTCTAATCAACGCGTAGTTTATTTTTGGACTTAGTAATAAAATATTATCACTAAATTCTTAATGTTAGTAACTAAAACTTACTCTAGAAAAACGTACAAAATTTACTTTTAGAATGTTACTTTTTTAAGTGGTTGGTTCTCTTAGAAGTCAACTAGATCTTAGAGAAACTCCTCTATATCTTAAATATACTTTCACATATTCCCGGAAAACTATGCCAGAGAGAAGTTTTAGTCTTAAAACAATGTAACAAATGTTAAATAATGTAACACATATTTTTAAACAAATGCAAGTGAATTGTGTACACTTAACAATGGGGAAAATGCCAAAATACTTCTTCAAGTCACAGAATTACACATAATTTGAGTCTTTTGTCTCCCCCTCCCTGTACAAGTCCTTTCAGCAGCGGTTACCAATGTAACCAGCGCCTGGGACAGAGAAGCAACACGTTGTAACTTTCACTCTTATTGTGATCTTATACTTTAACATATTACATTTTTTGTGTCCTATAATGCACACAATATGTTAAGATAGTAACATCTGAAATTTATAAATACACATGCATCTCTGAGTATCTATATACACATGCTGAGAAGTACAGGACAGAATGTGTGATCAGGAGATTGTGACCGTCTCCAGACAACAAACTGGTGGCAGTCAAGGGAGTGGGGGTCGGGGAGATGGAGTTGGGGGCGTAGCAGACATAAGCTATTGTACACAGGATGGATGAAGAACAAGGCCCTGCTGCATGGCACAGGGAACTGTGCTCAACATCCTGTGATAAACCACAAAGGAAAAGAACATTATCAGTTCAGGTCAGTCGCTCAGTGGTGTCTGACTCTTTGCGACCCCATGAATCACAGCACGCCAGGTCTCCCTGTCCATCACCAACTCCCAGAGTTTACTCAGACTCATGCCCATCGAGTTGGTGATGCCATCAAGCCATCTCACCCTCTATGGTCCCCTTCACCTCCTGCCCCCAATCCCTCCCAGCATCAGGGTCTTTTCCAATGAGTCAATTCTTTGCAAGAGGTGGCCAAAGTACTGGAGTTTCAGCTTCAGCGTCATTCCTTCCAATGAACACCCAGGACTGATCTCCTTCAGGATGGACTGGTTGGATCTCTTTGCAATCCTAGGGACTCTCAAGAGTCTTCTCCAACACCACAGTTCAAAAGCATCAATTCTTCGGCACTCAGCTTTCTTCACAGTCCAACTCTCACATCCATACATGACCACTGAGAAAACCACAGCCTTGACTAGACGGACCTTTGTTGGCAAAGTAATGTCTCTGCTTTTTAATATGCTGTCTAGGTTGGTCATAACTTTCCTTCCAAGGAGTAAGCATCTTTTAATTTCATGGCTGTAATCACCATCTGCAGTGATTTTGGAGCCAGAAAAAATAAAGTCTGTCACTGTTTCCCCATCTATTTCCCATGAAGTGATGGGACCAGATGCCATGATCTTAGTTTTCTGAATGTTTAGTTTTAAGCCAACTTTTTCACTCTCCTCTTTCACTTTCATCAAGGGGCTCTTTAGTTCTTCTTCACTTTCTGCCATAAGGGTGGTGTCATCTGCATATCTGAGGTTATTGATATTTCTCCTGGCAGTCTTGATTCCAGCTTGTGCTTCTTCCAGCCCAGCGTTTCCCATGATGTACTCTGCTTCTAAGTTAAATCAGCAGGGTGACAATATACAGCCTTGACATACTCCTTTTCCTATTTGGAACCAGTCTGTTGGTCCATGTCCAACAGACATGTTGCTTCCTGACCTGCATATAGGTTTCTCAAGAGGCAGGTCAGGTGGTCTGGTATTCCCATCTCTTTAAGAATTTTCCACAGTGTATTGTGATCCACACAGTCAAAGGCTTTGGCATAGTCAATAAAGCAGAAATAGATGTTTTCTGGAACTCTCTTGCTTTTTTGATGATCCAGCAGATGTTGGCAATTTGATCTCTGGTTCCTTTGCCTTTTCTAAAACCAGCTTGAACATCTGGAAGTTCACGGTTCACATATTGCTGAAGCCTGGCTTGGAGAATTTTGAGCATTACTTTACTAGCGTGTGAGATGAGTGCAATTGTGTGGTAGTTTGAGCATTCTTTGGCATTGCCTTTCTTTGGGATTGGAGTGAAAACTGACCTTTTCCAGTCCTGTGGCCACTGCTGAGTTTTCCAAATTAGCTGGCATACTGAGTGCAGCACTTTCACAGCATCATCTTTCAGGATTTGAAATAGCTCAACTGGAATCCCATCACCTCCACTAGCTTTGTTCATAGTGATGCTTTCTAAGGCCCACTTGACTTCGCATTCCTAGATGTCTGGCTCTAGGTGAGTGAATCACACCATCGTGATTATCTGGGTCGTGAAGGTCTTTTTTGTACAGTTCTTCTGTGTCTTCTTGCCACCTCTTCTTAATATCTCCTGCTTCTGTTAGGGCCATACCATTTCTGTCCTTTATCGAAACCCATCTTTGCATGAAATGTTCCCTTGGTAGCTCTAATTTTCTTGAAGAGATCTCTAGTCTTTCCCATTCTGTTGTTGTCCTCTATTTCTTTGCATTGCTCGCTGAGGAAGGCTTTCTTATGTCTCCTGGCTATCCTTCCGAACTCTGCATTCACATGGGAGTATCTCTGTGTAAACAGGCGCAACTGACCACTCTGCTGTAGAGCAGAGATTAATACCACACTGCAACTCAACCAGACTTCAGTTTAAAAAGCTGATAAAAAAAGAAACCGCATTTACATCACTGTTGAAATCCATGAAAGAGATACTGTAGCAGAAAAAGTGTAACATTTCATATGTTTCTTTCACATTTTCTTGAAACAATGCAGATACTATGGTCATTATTACTGATATTTTGCCTCCAGGGTTCTTGCTTCTTTGAATACAAAATCATAAATAAGAGGAAACATTTTTCTTGTAAATTAGAAGCATATTGTATACAGCTGGAAATAAGTCATCTGAAAAAAAAATTTTTTTTAAAAAGATTCTGAATATCTGAAAAAACAAAAAAGGTGTCTTCTACAGACACTTCTACAGAGTGGTTTTATTTTTTAAATTCACTTTTGTTGGAGTAGAGTTGATTTACAATGTTGTGTTACTTTCCGCAGCACAGCAAAGTGTATCAGTTATCCCTGCATACACACGTATATAGGGCCTCCCTGGTGGGTGCCTAACACACACACACACCCACTGCTTTTTAGATTCCATTCCCGTGTAAGGACTATTAAGCAGACAGAGTGATTTTAGAAGAGCAAAGCTTCATCCTTCTCTTTACCTAAAATTTCAACTCAGATTTTAATGCCAGCTCTGTTGTGGTGAAAGGTCTGTTAATCATTTGCTGTGTTAGGATTTTTATTTCACACCAGTTCAGTTCAGTCATTCAGTTGTGTCTGACTCTTTGCGGCCCCGTGGACTGCAACATGTCAGGCTTCCCTGTATATTACCAACTCCCAGAGCTTGCTCCAACTCATGTCCATTGAGTTGGTGATGCCATCCAGCCATCTCATCCTCTGTCATCCCCTTCTCCTCCTGCCCCCAATCCCTCCCAGCATCAGGGTCTTTTCCAATGAGTCAACTCGTCGCACAAGGTGGACAAAGTATTGGAGCCTCAGCTTCAGCATCAGTCCTTCCAATGAACACCCAGGACTGATCTCCTTCAGGATGGACTGGTTGGATCTCCTTGCAGCCCAAGGGACTCTCAAGAGTCTTTTCCAAAACCATAGTTCAAAAGCATCAATTCTTCAGCACTCAGCTTTCTTTATGGTCCAACTCTCACATCCACATATGACTACTGAAAAAACCATAGCTTTGACTAGACAGACCTTTGTTAGTAAAGTAATGTCTCTGCTTTTTAATATGCTATCTAGGTTGGCCATAACTTTTCTTCCAAGGAGCAAGCATCTTTTAATTTCATGGCTGCGGTCACCATCTGCAGTGATTTTGGAGCCCAAAAAAATAAAGTCTGTCACTGTTTCCCCATCTATTCCCATGAAGTGATGGGACCAGATGCCATGATCTTAGTTTTTCGAATGTTGAGTTTTAAGTCAGCTTTTTCACTCTCCTCTTTCACTTTCATCAAGAGGCTCTTCAGTTCCTCTTCACTTTCTGCCATAAGGGTGGTGTCATCTGCATATCTGAGGTTATTGATATTTCTCCCAGAAACCTTGATTCCAGCTTGTGCTTCATCCAGCCTGGCATTTCGCATGATGTACTCTGCATATAAGTTAAATAAGCAGGGTGACACTATACAGCCTGACGTATTCCTGTCCCTATTTGGAACCAGTCTATACTTCCATTACAGTTCTAACTCTTGCTTCTTGACCTGCATACAGATTTCTCAGGAGGCAGGTCAGGTGGTCTGGTATTCTCATCTCTTGAAGAATTTTCCACAGTTTGTTGTGATCCACACCGTCAAAGGTTTTGGTGTAGTCAATAAAGCAAATGTAGATGTTTTTTTGGAATTCTCTTGCTTTTTCTATGATCCAAAGGATGTTGGCAATTTGATCTCTGGTTCCTCTGCCTTTCCTAAATCCACCCTGAACACCAAGAAATTTTCACACCAAGCATTTCACACCAAGAAATACTTAATAATGTCAAACACATTAAATACAGGAAAAGAAGCAAAGTTAAAACAAAAAATACAGGAAGACATTAAGTGACGTTAACTGATAATCCACTGTGCATTTAAACTAAATACTGTGAGTAGACACCAAGGGTAACATAACAGCTCTGTTCTCAAGAAAGTTACCATCTAATGTGAGAGGATGCACAAGCATCACTGGAACTGAATTGAGTTTCCAGGATTACGAAAGAACCCAGGAGAGGAGAAGCAGGAACATTTCAACCTCTTATCACTGAGCTCCCACTCTGACAAGACTTCTCAAGCTTCTGCTCCTGGCCATAGGTTGGAAATCTAGCTCAGCCCAATCCCAACAACCAACAGAATCTTGTTGGGGTCTACTTTCTCTGAGTATTGCACATTATTTCTTTTTTAATCAACTAAAATATAAAATAAAATTTTAAAAAACCTAAATGTAAGGCTGGATACTATAAAACTCTAAGAAGAAAACACAGGCAGAGCACTCTGAAATAAATCACAGCAGTTTCTTTTTGAATCCACCTCCTACAGTTATGGAAACAAAAACAAAAATAAACAAATAGGACCTAATTAAAAGCTTTTGCACCACAAAGGAAACCATAAACAAAATGAAAAGACAACCCACAGAATTGGATGAAATATTTGCAAATGAAACAACTGACAAGGGATTCATCTCCAAAATATACAAACAGTTTATGCAGCTCAGTATCAGAAAAACCAGCAACTCAATAAAAAAATGGGCAGATCTAAATAGACAGTTCCCTAAAGAAGACATAAAGATGGCCAAAAAGCACATGAAAAGATGCTCAACATCACTAATTATTAGAGAAATATAAATCAAAACTACAATGAAGTATCATCTCACACTGGTCAGAATGGTCATCACCAAAAAATCCACCAACAATAAAACACTGGCAAGGGTGTGGAGAAAGGGAAACCCTCCTACACTGTTGGTGCAAATATAATTTGGTGCCGTCACTGCAGGGAATAGTTCCTCAAAAAATCTAAAAACAGAGTTACCGTAGGATCCAGCCATCCCATTCCTGAGTATATATCCAGAGAAAAATGTGATTCAGAAAGATACATGCACCCCAATGTGCAGAGCAGGACTACTTACATTAGCCAAGACATGGAGACAAGCTAAATGTCCATCGACAGATGAACGGATAAAGATGTAGCATCAATACATATATACAGTGGAATATTACTCAGCCATAAAAAGAACAGGGCAGTGCCATTTGCACCAATATGGATGGACCCAGAGATTATCATAGTGAGCGAAGTCAGACAGTGACAAATATACGATATCATTTATATGTGGAATCTAGAAATACTGATACAAATGAACTTATTCACAACACAGAAACAGACTCAGACATACAATACAAACTTATGGTTACTACACGGGAAATGTTGGCGGGGGAGGGATAAATTAGGAGTTTGGGATCAAGAAAGTACACACTACTGTGCAGAAAATAAATAATCAACATGGACCTACAGTACAACCTGGGGAACTGTACTGAGTATTCTGTAATAAATAACCTATGAGAAAAGAATAGATACATGTCTATGTATAACTGAATCATTTTGCTGTACCCCTTAAACTAACAAAATACTGTTACTCAACTATAATAAAAAATAAAAGTTTTTAAAAAGTTTTGCTATATTTTCTAAATCAAAACTTATGTTCTTCGCGAACCACACAACCAGTCCCCACTCCCAAGATGCTAACACACCTGCCAAGGAGGGCGTGTCTTCGTCCAGACCGAGAGGAGCCATTTCAGAGTGAGTGACGGGAACATGCTAGCGAGCGATGCCTCCGTGTCTATTATGAGACCATTTAGAACATACCCACGAGCCCAGACACGAGGACTCTGCACACTTACCCAGTGTCTTCTGGATGTCATTCTTGGCGGGAAGTAAAGGTCCCCTGGAGTCTAACAACACTTCAGCTGTCTTCTTCAGTTTCTCCACAGCCACCTGCTGACTTGATATCTGTCCCTGCAGAGCCTGGAGGATCAAATGCCTCAATTACACTCAGTAGGACTGAGTAACAGATTTCCAGCATGAAGAAAAGGTGCACAGTAAGACAAAGTGAAATCGGACAGAGATTTGCCATCAGCAGAAACTGGCCTAGAATTCTGAGAATCAGGCCAGTTATAAATCGGCACTGGCAACTACCAGCCACTTGGGATCATCCAGATTCAGTACTGGAACAAACCCTTAGCATCTGCTCACGATAAATAGCCTCAATCCTGATCCTCAAACACTCCACCCTCACCCCAAGTTCCCCACAACCTCCAGAAAACAAAGACAAATGAGAAAGAAGCAAGCAACAGAAAACCTTTGGGACACCATATTTCAGACTCCAGGTAAGGAGATAGTTAAGGATTCTCAGCACGTCCTGACTCAACACTGAGTCATATTCATTTCCATCAATGAAACAGAAGTTGACTAACATCTAACCAATTTCGAAAAAGCTTGCTGTATTTTATGAAAAAACAAAGATCACACAGACACAAAGCTTAGCCACAGGGTCCTCTGGTCTAAGGCAGGAAGTGGTGAGTGCCAAAGACAAGTAAGAGAGGCCGAGCGGGGAGGCCTGCTCTGTGGGGTGGGCCGGGCCGGGTCTGGGGAAGGGGTGGCTCTGGGCATCCTCCTGGGCTGCACGGTCCCCAGGTGGTGCCTCCTTCCTCCTTCCCGTCTGCACACCAAGCAGCAAGCCCTGACAATTTCAGCTGCTTCATCTGTGTTTAAACTCGGGCTCTTGCTCTGTATTTTTGAGTCACAGGAGGATAATCTCTCACTTCACTGGAAAAAGCCTCCTAACCACACGCTCTCCCTCCAGTCTCTCCCCCGATACAGTCCCCAGTGTGTTTGATGGAAGACACACCCGGCTTCACCACGCACTGAGCTTGGCAGGCAACCCTGAGCTTGGCTCTTACCGTGAACATCCAGCCGGGGGGCCCCCCATCTCCTCCCACCCCCGCCTGGAGCACCGCCCCAAGGAGCTCCCTCAATTGCCCTGTGAATATCACTGCAGTGATCTGTCTCTTTGATCAAACTGGAACCTCCGTGTGAACTAGGGATTGATACTATCCAAGTTCCATTACTACTGCCTCACCCAGCATTGGTCACTGATGGAAGTTTCTGGAATAAATAAGTAAATGAATAAGCAAATAAATGAAGTTATAAGGTGTAAGGTTTTTAAAGCACCTCCTCTATTTCAGGCTCCAACAACAATAACAAAAAGCAAATGCCTAAAGCCAATGGTAAAAATCTTCTCAATTAATTCCCATATCCAGGAAGCTGTGATAATACACAGGTAGCTGCACATACGTCCAATGGTTCGACAAAAAAGGACCAGCTTGGGACCTGTGATCTGAGTACCAGATCTTACAGTTCATCCAAGAGACCAAAGAATCCGCATCCAAATGGTCAGTTTGGGAAATTCTCCCACAGGTTTAGTTGCCACTAACTAAGAAATTTCTCAAAACAGGAATTTCACTTATAATGACTGAAGTCTAAGCCACACAAACAGCTTATTCACCTCACACAGCTTAACAGGAAATGAAGTAAGTTTAAAGGTATCTCCAAAAAATATATTCTTTAGAATGTGAGTTCCCCAAAGTCAGAGACAGGGTTTTAACACCTTGTGTCTTCATAAAACCTAATACCTGACCTAGTATATAAATGTCTCCAAATGAATGAATTTGTGTAAAAGTGACCATGGTTTTATAAAAATATCCTATACCAACGATGGCCCTACCGACCATCCTAAAACTTAAAATAGATTACAAAAAAGCATCTCTTCTTTACCTCTTCTCTTCAAAACATCCATACTTATTCTCTTCATAATGATTTTCAAGACAGTCAATAGGTTTTAGTTCCTAACAAGTTAGGTCCCATCACTTCATGGCAAATAGAAGGGGGAAAACAGTGACAGATTTTATTTTCTTGGGCTCCAAAATCATTGCAGATGGTAACTGTAGCCATGAAATTAAAAGATGTTTGCTTCTTGGAAGAAAAGCTACAACAAACCTAGACAGCGTATTAAAAAGCAGAGACATCACTTTGCTGTCAAAGGTCCATAAAGTCAAAGGTATGGCTTTTCCAGTAGTCACATATGGATGTGAGAGTTGGATCATAAAGAAGGCTGAGTGCCTAAGAATTGATGCTTTTGAACTGTGGTGCTGTAGAATACTTTTGTGAGACCCTCGGACAGCAGATAGTGAAGGACAGGGAACCCTGGCAGGCTTCGTGGGGTCATAAAGAGTCCAACATGACTTAGTGACAAAAGAACCACATGTTATCAGGGTTTAATTTACCTACAGTAGTAGTTTATAATACTACAAAACCACAAACTGAGTATCAAATGAGTGCCATATATTGTTTTAAATGGACTTCGATTAAATTAAAACATGAAAGAAGCATCTGTGACAGGGAACAATGCAAGATGATGACCTTGGTTTCCAGCCTGAACCAGAAAAGAGTGAAGTTTATAAAGCCACAGGCACTCGTCCAGCTCATAAAAATTTCCGTACACTCATCACCCTCCCCAAGATCAGAGCAAGCCTGGAAGGTCGATGTCATCTATGGGACACGGTCCCATGCCTGGCTCCAAACCCAGGTCTCTACTTGGGTCCCAGAGTCTTGTCTTTCTGTGCTTCATACGGAACTAAAAATCTCATTTCGTCCACTGATTTTGAAAAGCAGCATTCCAGCCCAGTGGAATCAGACTGCTGACAGTACAGCTAGTGGTGATTTGAAAAGTAACACTACTAACAATGTGCTACGGGCCTGAAAGATTTCAAGTGAACCCACTGGGTGCCCCAAAGTACATTCATCATACAACAGAATATAAGTAGAAGTTAGTATTGAAAACGTAGAAAAGACTGACATATTTTGTAGTAGTCTTAAGTGTCTGTATTAATGTTAAAAGTAAGTAAGAAAGTGTTAGTTAGTGCTTAGTCGTGTCCGACTCTTTGCGACCCCATGGACTGCAGCCCACCAGGCTCCTCTGTCCATGAGATTTTCCAGGCAAGGATATTGGAGTGGGTTGCCATTTCCTTGCAAGACGTTGTTGGTAAAAGGAAAGAAAAGGAGGCTCCTTAGTCCTCATAAAAACGCATCCTCGCTACCTGTTGAGATCATCTGCGAGGAAGACATGGCCATGTGCCAGGAAAAACTCTAATCACACATTTAATTTCTAAAATGATGCTGTGGCTTAATTGGAATTCGTTCTCCTTGGAGATGTTCCTCTCTTTTCTATTTCTTTGGCTGCCTTAAGACTAGAAGCGTCTCCTTCCTCTGTGCGTACCAAGAAAATCTTCAGGTTTTAGAATTAATCCACGTTTCTATTTCATTAAAAAGCCATAGCATTCGTTTCACTTTTTTTTCTTTAGTTATATTAAAACTACTTCTATACAGGATGTAATCAGTTTGTTAGTATAGACCTAACTAAAAATGTATTATTTCTGTTTCACATAAGTTTCCAATGCTAAAAATACCTAACTTCCTAATTAAATGCAATACCGGCAATCTTAATAATTGTCAGCTCCTGACATTTCCTATTAAAATAGTGGCCTTTATGTCACAACATCTCCTCTGCCAGCATATACTGTCCTTGGACCTGCCATCCAGCGGGGACTGGAAACTTCATTAAGATGGATCTGTTCTCGGGCTTAAGGGCAAGAGGGAAACGCACTCACTCACACACTCACACACACACACACACACACACACACAAGCCTCAGGACAGAGACACATCCCTGACGTGGGGAAGCTCCATCAAGCGGGGCTGGCCTGGCTCAGGCCACAGGTTGCACTGGGACAGCCCAGCCTGGGAAGTCACAGGGCCGCCCGTCTAGCCCCAGGGCCTCCCTCCTGTCTCTGCTTGGCTTTAAGCTGCCACACTTTACCCCAGGGAACGACACAGCACTCCTTCCAGAAGACACTGGCCTCACGCAATACCTAATGGTCAGCGAAGTCAGAGGACCTGCTTCTCTCGTTAACAGCACAGCGATTTCTGACTCTAACTAGCAGATGGAACCAAATTCTGAAAGGCGGTGGTTTCACTGGCACTAACGCTCATTTTCTATCAAGGTGAAAATAATCTATTGCTATCCACCTGCTAAACAGAAACACAGGATAGATTTAAGAAATGAAACTTACAAACTCAAATTTTTTTCTTCCTTTTTTCCCTTTTTTTGGCCTCACTGCCTGGCGTGTGGGATACTAGTTTCCTGACCTGCCATCCAACCTGTGCCCCCTGCAGTGGAAGCATGAAATCTTAGCCACTTCAGCACCAGGGACATCCCTCAAAATCAGAATTACTGGTCACATGAAAGAAGAAGAAACTTTTTCAAAAATTCTCTCCCCTTACATGAGGATTTGAAAATATACCTGAACTGTACGAAATGGGCTGGACTCTCTGGGCCACTGGGGGTGTGGCTGAGATCCCACAATTACACAATCCCCCAGCAAACCTGCACACTCAAAAGGGCAGGCGGCTTCTCTGAGAAGTGGGCGAGGTGATAACTGAAGTGTGCACCTCTGTAAATCAGGGGGCAACTCAACAGGAACCCACATGGAGAGTGACGGTGGCAGTCCCCTGTCCCCCGTCCACTCATGAACAGTCATCAAGGATCCACAAGGGCCCCGGCACGCAGCAGTGAACAAAACAGACCAAGTGTCTGTCCTGCGGACCTCAGAGCTAACGATGGAGACAGATGACGAACAAAATAAGAGTCAAGACCACAGCTGGTCCAGGCAGGACTGGTCTGTGCCTGGGCAGGTGGGGGTGGGGGATACAAACCACGACAGCAGTGTCAGACCAGCTAAACCAGAGCAGAAGAAAGAGAAATGGACAGACATCGGAAGACCAAGTCAGGAGTGCCCCAGAGGGACACACACACCTTCCCAGCCCCTCTCGCCCCGACCTGTGGGCAAGATCACAGAAGTAGGGGGGGGAAGCAAGGTGTCCTGTGGGACTACCGTGGGGCTGGATCTCTCCCTCCCTCTTGTTTCTCTTACCTTCATCTCTTCCAGCTGCCTCTGCAGATTTTTGGGGTCCACGGCAATAGGCTCGGATAAGTGTCTGCTGGCTGTGGCCTCGCAGGCCTGGAGCCCAGAGAGAAGCCCGCACGAGGCATCCTCATAGTGCTGGTATTTATCCACCAGGTCTTTGAGGTTGTTCCCGAGGACATTGCACTGAGAACCAAACAAAGGGAGAGTAGGAATCAAAATCTGCTACTTTTACATACAGTCTCCAGGACCCGTGAGTTATGCCACCTGTAAGACAGCAGACTTCAACACAGTCAGTGAAACCTACAGGGCAAAGAGTTTCTCCTTTATGTGAAGATACTTCCTCTAACCACTCAGAAAGTCACCATGAAAATGAGAAGAGTAGATTTACACCAGTTTAAAAACATATGCACAGGGCTGAGTCTTCAGCCAGACTGCAGGGCCTAGGTGTCATCATCAGAGGTCTCGTCTCGCGGAGTCGACACACCAGGGGTAGAGTGTGCTGCAAACAGAGAGATGGCCCCGGGCTGCAGGGGTTTCTCTATTATGCACAGACTGATCAACATGAGGAGGGAAGCATCTAGGCCAGGAGGAAGACACGGCCAACAGCCAGCGATGCTCCGCAAGCCACAGAGGCAGCCTGGTCAGCCGTTCAGCTTATACTCTAAACAGGGGCATGTTTCCTCTTTTTCATTTCTTTCGCTGTTTTTAAACAAAATTCTCTTACTGGTCCACAAGAATAACAGAAATGAAAACTGTCTCTTAACCACTTGGTATTAAAACAATACTGATCAAATATACATGTAAAGCAGACACTTGTGAAATGAATTTTAAGAGATGAAGATGCCTTTCTCAAATTTGAGGGTGCAAAGTACTCGATAGTTTATATTTCAGTTGCTCCGTCGTGTCCGACTCTTTGCCACCCGATGGACTGCAGCACGCCAGGCCTCCCTGTCCATCACCAACTCCTGGAGTTTACTCAAACTCATGTCCATTGAATCAATGCCATCCAACCATCTCATGCTCTGTTGTCCCCTTCTCCTCCTGCCTTCAGTCTTTCCCAGCATCAGGGTCTTTTCAAATGAGTCAATTCTTCTGATTTGGTGGGCAAAGTATTGGAGTTTCCGTTTCAGCATCAGTCCTTCCAATGAATATTCAGGACTGATCTCCTTTAGGATGGACAGGTTGGATCTCCTTGCAGCCCAAGGGACTCATAAGAATTTCCTCCGACAACACACTTCAAAAGCATCAATTCTTTGGTGCTTTGACTAGACAGACTTTTGTTGGTAAAGTAATGTCTCTGCTTTGTAATATGCTATCTAGGTTGGTCATAACTTTTCTTCCAAGGGGCAAGCATCTTTTAATTTCATGGCTGCAATCACCACCTGCAGTGATTCTGGAGTCCCCAAAAATAGTCTGTCACTGTTTCCATTGTTTCCCCATCTATTTGCCATGAAGTGATGGGACCAGATTTTAGTTTTCTGAATGTTGAATTTTAAGCCAACTTTTTCACTCTCCTCTTTCACTTTCATCAAGAGCCTCTTTAGCTCTTCTTCACTTTTTTCCATAAAGGTGGTGTCATCTGCATATCTGAGGTTATTGATATTTCTCCCGGCAATCTTGATTGCAGCTTGTGCTTCATTCATCCCGGCATTTCTCATGATGTACTCTGCATATAAGTTAAATAAGCAGGGTGACAAAATAGAGCCTTGACGTACTGCTTTCCTGATTTAGAACCAGTCTGTTCTTCTATGTCCAATTCTAACTGTTGTTTCTTGACCTGCATACAGATTTCTCAGGAGGCAGGTCAAGTGGTCTGGTGTTCCCATCTCTTGAAGAATTATTCATAGTTTGTTGTGGTCCACACACTCAAAGGCTTTGGCACAGTCAATAAGGCAAAAGTAGATGTTTTTCTGGAACTCTTGCTTTCTTGATGATCCTTGTTGGCAATCTGATCTCTGGTTCCTTTGCTTTTTCTAAATCTAGCCTGATGTTGGCAATTTGATCTCTGGTTCCTTTGCTTTTTCTAAATCTAGCTTGAACATCTGGAAGTTCACGGTTCACATACTGTTGAAGCCTGGCTTGAAGAATTTTGACCATTACTTTGCTAGCGTGTGAGATGAGTGCAATTGTGCAGTAGTTTAAAGATTCTTTGGCATTGCCTTTCTTTGGGATTGGAATGAAAACTAACCTTTTCCAGTCCTGTGGCCACTGCTGAGTTTTCCAAATTTGCTGACATATTGAGTGCAGCACTTTCACAGCATCATCTTTCAGGATTTGAAATAGCTCAACTGGAATTCCGTCACCTCCACTAGCTTTGTTCATAGTGATGCTTTCTAAGGCCCACTTGACTTCGCATTCCAGGATGTCTGGCTCTAGGTGAGTGAATCACACCATCGTGATTATCTGGGTCACAAAGATCTTTTTTGTATAGTTCTGTGTATTCTTGCCACCTCTTCTTAATATCTTCTGCTTCTGTTAGGTCCATACCATTTCTGTCCTTTATTGAGCCCATCTTTGCAAGAAATGTTCCCTTGATATCTATAATTTTCTTGAAGAGATTGCTAATCTTTCCCATTCTATTGTTTTTCTCTATTTCTTTGCATTGATCACTGAGGAAGGCTTTCTTATCTCTCCTTGCTATTCTTTGGAACTCTGCATTCAAATAGGTATATCTTTCCTTTTCTCCTTTGCCAATGTACTCTGCTTAGAGCCAAAATACACACACCACCTGCTGGTCAAAATGGGTAGTACAGAGTTTTAGTCAGGGCTGCCTGGAAACCACACTATATGAACTAAATAAATAACTTTACATACTTAATCTTTAAATACATATTGCAAAAGTAAAGCAGATGAATAAGACTGGTGGAAGCAAGATGAAAATGCCTTATTTTCCCTGCTTCGGTTTTCAAATTTCTTGCTAATTCCAAAACTAAAGTTAATAGGACAGAGTGAAAACTATAGGTACAGATTAAAAAGTTAAAAATGAAATAACCTTATTGCACAGGAAAGGAAATCATAAACAAAACAAAGTGAATACCGATGGAATTGGAGAAAATATCTGCAAATGATGAAACCAACAAGGGCTTAAATTCTAAAATATACAAACTGCTCATACAACTCAGTAACAAAACAAAAACCAATTGAAAAATGGGCAGCACTAAATAGACATTTATCTAGAGAAGACATACAGATGGCCAAGAGGCACACGAGAAGATGCTCAACATCACTAAATATTAAGGGAAATGCAAGTCAATATTATGAGGTTACCACCTGACACCAGTCATAATGGCCATCATCAAAAAGTCTACAAATAATAAATGCTGGAGAGGATGTGGAGAAAACGAAACCCTCCTACACTGTTGGTGGGAATGTAAACTGGTGCAGTCACTATGGAGAACAGCAGGAAGTTGCCTCAAAAAACTAAAAACAGAGCTACCATGTGATCGAACAATACCACTCCTGGGCATACATCCAGACAAGCACTCTAACCGCCATGTTCATAGCAGCGCTGTTCACAACGGCCAAGTCATGGCAACAACCCAAGTGTCCATCGGCAGATGGTGGATAAAGATGTGGCACATATACACAATGGATACCACTCAGCCTGAAAAGAGTGAAATAAGGCTGTCTGCAGCAACATGCATGGACTCAGAGATGATCAGTGAAGCCGGTCAGAAAGAGAAAGACAAATACCATGTGATATCACTTGCACGTGGGATCTAAAATTTGACACAAAGGTGCCTGAGAAACAAAAGCAGAGTCACAGACATAGAGAACAGAGCCGTGGCTACCCACGGGGAGGTAAAGGTTAGGAGTCTGGGATCAGCAGGTGCAAGCTATCTTATATAAACTGGATAAACAACATAGGACTGGGAACTATATTCAGTATCTGTGATGAACCATAATAGAAAGACTATCAGAGAGAATGTATACACGTGTGTAAGTGAGTCACTCTGCTGTACACAGAAATTAACACGACACTGCTAATCGACTAGACATCAAATTTAAAAACCGCACTTACCTTTGTGTAGAGGGACCTGAAGCGGTCTGTGGCGCGGTCCAGCCGGCCCTGCACTTCTCTGTGGGCGGCAGAGGTGTCCACCTGGTCCCGATCAGCCCGGCCGCCTCCCTCTCTCCCGCCGCAAGACTTGGCTGCCTCCAGCACTCTGTTGCCAGAGATGGTGATGTACCTCAGGTCCCCTTTGTGCGAAATGACGTCTTCCGAGAAGCTCTTCTGCCGCTTCAGCTTGGCCGTCAGCCCGCTAAGGTCGTCGGCGCCGGCCTCCAGGTTCTGCAGGTCCTGCTCCGCCTGCTGCAGCCACTGCTCAAACTCGCCGCAGTCGGCGTCGAACTTCTGCAGCTCCTCCTGCAGGGAGCGAGTCCGGCGCACCGCCGTCTCCGACGCGGCCAGTGCGCTTTCGAAGTGTGTCTTCAGCTCCGTCACGTTCCTCTGCAGCTTCTCCTTCTCCTCCGGGCACAGGTGGTGGCCCTGGGTCTCCAGCAAGGCCTGGGCCGCCTGCGTGGCCGCAAGGACCGCCTGGTGCCGGGCCGCGAGCTCCGCATGCTGCGCCTGCGCGAGAGTGGGCCGGGGTCAGGGCGCGGGGCCTGCGGGCGCGGGACGCTCACCCCCGCCTCCGCCACGCGCCCAGGGCGCCCAGCCTCTCTTCCACTGATGAGCTTCCCAAGAGGAGGGGCCACGTGAGCACGCTCACCTGGTCTTAGGATTTCCAGTCTTCTCTGGAAAGGACTTAGGCAAGCGCACAAAGCAAGTAACCGCTTTGAGAAGGTTGGGGAGGAACGGAACAAATTGCTCTTCCAACTTGAAAACAAGTACCTACCACCTGCTCTCCTTCTGCTCGTCCCTTCCTCGCGAGCTCCCTAAAGGGACGGGGAGCGTCCTCACCTGATTATTCATCAAGGAAGCATGATGTTTGCTTAGGAAATGATCTTGAAAAAATACTTAATAGGAAAAAAAGAACCTATAATTTGAAAGCGTCAAAAAACCACGAAGATAAGCAGTAAGCAAGAACAATACACATTTGGAGACGCTCAAGGGAAGTCAGAGGCACATGCGCAGTAGAGGAGCATCTTGGAGCCGCTCCTGGGCTGGCTGCGCCTCCGTTTCCGACGTGGGAAGAGGACAATACCCTACAGTCACAGATATGACAAAAGGCCCACAGGAAGGCACGCGGGGAGAACACTGCCCACAGAGCCTGGCACAGCCAGGCATCCAAGTCCCCCCTGGAGGCGGAGCACAGAGCGGGCCACAGGTGAGGGGCGGGCGGGCCACAGGTGAGGGGCGGGCGGGTCACAGGTGACGGGCGGGCTGCTCACAGGTGAGGGGCGGGCAGGTCAAAGGTGAGGGGCGGGCTGCTCACAGGTGAGAGGCGGGCTGCTCACAGGTGAGGGGCAGGCTGCTCACAGGTGAGGGGCGGGCGGGTTACAGGTGAGGGGCAGGCTGCCCACAGGTGAGGGGCAGGCTGCTCACAGGTAAGGGGCAGGCAGGTCACAGGTGAGGGGCAGGCAGGTCAAATGTGAGGGGCGGGCTGCTCACAGGTGAGGGGCGGGCTGCTCACAGGTGTGTGCAACTACCCACCCTGGGTCCTCAGGGTGGCCAGGACCCCTTCCTCTCCAGCCATAACCTGATTCTCCCATCCACCCCATCATGCCGTTAAAATGTGGTGAAGAGCATAATGGAAAAGAATATAAACACAAGTGTACACATACGTATACCTAGATCACTTTGCTGTACTATAGAAACTACACAACCCTGTACATCAACTATACTTCAATTTTTAAAAAGTGTAGTCATCCTTTGGGGCCACTTCCACATTCCTTGTGATGACTTACTTGAAGCCAGACACCTGATCCCACCACTTCCAAACCCCCTCTGGGACTTGATGTCCCCCCCAGCCAGGCACCTGGCCCCCACCTCTACCCACCCCCACCCGCGGGTGGTGCTGGGACCCCTTTCTCCAGTTGCTCTGTCTGGCTCCAGCTCTGCCCCCAAATACCTGCGTGGCAACCCCCACCTCCTCTAAGTCTTGCCACAAATCTCCCTTTCCTGTGTGGCCCTTCTCTGACGATCCTATTAACCCTGAAGGAGGGCCCCAACCCCACACTCACCCACCCATCCCCAACTCAACTCAGCCGGAAGTTGCCATCTCCCAGCACCCACAGAATGCAGATGGTTACCGCCTGCCCGGTCATCCTCAGCCCCGCAGGCAAGCACCAGGATGGGATTCGTTCTGCTCGTGACCAACGTAAGCGCTGGCACTCAGGGGCTGGCACCCACGCGGGCCTTCAAGTGAACAGGGCCGAGGAGCGCTGCTGTGGGGCAGCTCGTCCTTAAACGTCTGATCCCTGACATCAGCAGGGAACAGACTCCCGGGTCCTGCTCCCCACCCTGCCTGTAACAGCACCTGCCGAGCGGCAGACATATGCCAGTGCTTTGTCTAAATGACTTTTCTCCCACAGGTGATGTCTTCCATACGTGACTTATATTCACAGGACACCTCCATCCGGTAGGCTGGACAGGTGTAATCATCCCTGTAAGTCACCCGGTCCACCCTTCCCTTTTACAGATGAGGGGAGACAGGCTGCGGTGGGGAATCACTGAGCCCAGCATGCGTGGCACAGACAGCGAGCTGGCCCGGAACCCTGGCTCCCAAGCCTCTGGGCCGTCTCTCCACTCTGCAAGGAGAGCAGGAATTTCTGAAGTTCCTCAGGTTCCCATCTTCTCCGCAGTAAGAAGTTCAGAAGGGCAAACGTCATACTGTGGCCAAAAACAAGGGTTTCCTGGCCTACATGTCTGTTCCACCCTGGTATTTTTCACTCCTTCGGTAGAATTCCTAACCTTTCCTGACTCCGCTGTAACTGACTCACAAGGTTCCTTTAGGAAGTCGTTATGTTTTTCATTTAAAGATGCAGTTAGAGTCAGGTTTTGAAACAACCTCTTAAAATTGGGATGTAATGAACACCCCCACTCTTCTGGTTTACTTTCTAGATCCTGTAACAGAAAAGCTTCTCAGAGAGCACTCTGATCCCAAGACACCAAAGACAAAGGCTCAGAGGCAAACAGCAGAACCACAAACGTCTCTGAAACGCACCAAAAGCCAAACACTGAAATAAAAGGATTAAACATGTGGCTCTCTAAAAACAGCTTTGCCCCCTTAGCTCTGACTTCCTTCCTGCAGTGAGCTTTCACTCCTCTCCTCTCCAGCAGCCTTCACCAAAACAGCCAAGCTGAGGCCTGCAAAGGACTCACATGAACACAGGAGGACACCGCAGGCAGGACTGGAATTCAGCAGAGGGACTGAGCTCACAGCCTAGGTCTAAACCCAAACTCCGTCCCTCACTAGAAGCATAACCTGGCCAAGCCAGCTCACTCTGTAAGTTACTGTTCCCATCTGTTGTTCAGTCGCTAAGTTGTGTCCAGCTCTGTTGCAACCCCATGGACTACAGAAGCCAGTTTACTGTGTCCATGGGATCTCCCAAGCATTCCCAAGTATTCCAAGAATACCAGAGTGGGTTGCCATTTCCTTCTCCAGGGGACTGTCCTGACCCAGGGATTAAACCCACATCTCCTGCATCAGCAGGTGGATTCTTTACCACTGAGCCACAAGGGAAGCCTTCCCCATCTGTAAAATGAGAATAATAATAACAACATTAACAATAAGCAGCTCATCACCACTATAACTATATTCTCATTTTACAGAGTAGTGGGGAGGACGAAAGGGACCAAGTGATGAGTGAAGCTGGGAAGAGCTTTGAAGCATGCCGGACCACTGTCACTGCTCTATGAATGCTAGTTATTATTGTTATTGCTGTTATTCCTTACAGCTCTGCTTTATAGAGAACTCCACATCTGATGATGTAGTTCTCATTGCTTGTGACTTATTTATAATTCTCAGCATTAACTTATTCTGACATAATGATGAGCCTAGAAAAAAAGGACTTTACTCTCAAGGGTCCCTGAGCTTTGAAGGGACAACTCACATGCTAAGTTCTTCCTATATTTACAGACCCAAAAAGAGACTCTAACAGGACCCTGTGTGAAACCACGCACCTTCATCCTCTGGTACTGCTGGTTCAGGTTCTCCTCGGTAGTCCCGACATGCCCGTCAACATCCGTGTCCAACAGGTTTCCGTTGAATTCATCCTCTTCTCCCATCATCGACTTGCCATCACCCTCTTGAAAGTGCATCCCGTTCTGCTCAATAACCTGTTTCGGCTCCACCGCTGCCCGCCCTGAGTCTCTGTCGACATTTGCCAACCAGTCCAAGAGGTTTTCGATTTTGGTTTTGCTCTCTTCCAGCTGCTTCGCAGCAGCAACCTGGGCAGGAAAGGTCACAGTAGGTAACCCTGAATGTGGGCCAAGGCATGGGTGTTTAGACATTCTGAAAGCAAATAGTTAGATCCCTGAAAAATCAGAGTGGGGAAACAAACCAGACCCACGCTGAAAACCGAACATGATGAAATTACGTCTACAGCAACTGGCAGTTACTCTGAAGTTTCCACTGTTCTTAAAATACATTCCAAAATTATAACTGATGAGACCTCACACATCTCACAAGTAGAAAGTTCCACAATCCCACTTAGATTTTTTTTTTTTTTTTAAAGTTCAACAAAGCCTACACACTACTATAGGTAAAAGAAATTAAGCTACAAGAAGGGACTCCCCTGGCAGTCCAGCGGTTAGGACTCGGTGCTTTCACTGCCAAGGACACAGGTTTGATCCCTTATCAGAGAACTGAGATTTCGCAAGCTGCGAGGCCAAAAAAAAAGCTACAATGATATATGGTACAGCACAGGGAATACAGCCAATATTTTATAATAACCATACATTGAATATAACCTGTAAAAACTGTGAACCACTATGTTGTATATCTGTAACTTATATAATATTGCACATTAACTTTGATTAAAAAAATTTTTAAGTTCAGCAAGGCCAATTCTTCAAATCTGGTCAATTACATACATGAAAACCCAACATTCTAGTCTCTGGCGCTAACCATCACTTTGACCCCCTGACAGCATGTAATAAATCAAGGCACTTGATATCTTAAGTCATTTTCAACAAAGCCACGGGAGCAGGGTACCACTCAGCTGAGTAAGGACCTTTTCTGTTTCCTCTTTGACTGCTGTTGTCACAGCTTTATCCAGCTCTTTCTTTGACTGCTCTGCCTTTATGGTCAGCTGTTCACACTTTATTTTAGCTTCATTCAGCTTCTGTTCAATCACAGCCTTATCTTCTCGTGACAGCTTTTCGCCACTCTCTCTTAAGAAATTCTCTGTGTTTTTCACTATTTCTGCCAGTGCCTGTGCACTTCCTTGCATATCTTTCTGTAATTCCTTTTAACACAAAAGAAAAAAAATCATTAAATTAGTCAGTCAGTCAGTCAGTTCAGTCGCTCAGTCGTGTCCGACTTTGCGACCCCATGAATCATAACCTGTTAAATTCTTTCAAAACCGTAATTCTAAAAGTGGGGGTAGGCGTGGGCAGAGGAGAACACATACAGGTTGAAAAAGCGTATTCAATACCATGTTAATTTGAATGGTTTTATTTAAATCATAATACTTAATGTAATTTGAAACCTCAAAGACCACTAAAGAAACGTATGAGATTTGCATGGTTAATAAATGGATGTGGTTTGCAAAACACTGAAAACAAATATTTAGTATATAATCTTTACAAATTTATACACATCAGACTTTTTTACATTATGTGAGTACATAAAAGTTTCTAAATACATGTTAATATTATCAATTCTCTTTCTAAACATTAATTCTTTAATATATATCTACTTCTCAAAATAAAAACAAATAATTCCCTAAATTATGAGCTAAGTTGTTCCTAAGATAATCTCCAAACAAAGACAATTTTTTCTTCTAAATGCCAGAGTTCTATAAAATGTAATGTTTGCTTCTTTGCCCTGGCTGCTAGGAAGCTCAGAGTAAGATCTCTCCTCAACTATTATAGCTTTCCTCTCATTAGATTTCTCTATGTAATTCTTCCTCTTTTCTTACATTATAATGTCATTCTCTATATTGTACTATGCTTAAGTCTTCATGTTATTCTTCCCCATAATTTTATTTTAAGGCTCCCCAGATTTTTCTGGGAAGTATCTGAATGGAAAGCGCCTATCCAGTTGTCCGAGCACCACCTGGTGAAGAGGCTTTTCCTCCTTGTATATTCTGGCCTGCTTTGTCAAAACTAATTGGCTGTCAGGGTCTATTTCTGGGCTCTCTTCTGCCCCACTGATTTCTGTGTCCGTTTTGTGCCAGTGCCATCTCATTTTATGGCAACAGCTTTTTGTAAGACAGTTCGAAATCCACAAGCAAGATAACTCTAACTTTGTTCTTTTTCAAGATTGCTTTGGCTCTTCAAGGTCTTTTGTAGTTCCATGTAAACTTTAGGATTATGTGCTGTAGTTCTGTGAAAAATGTCATGGGTACTTCAATAGGGATCACACTGAATCTATAGATTTCTTTGGGTGGTATGGACATTTTTTTACAATGTTAATTCTTCCAATCTATGAACACTGTGTATAGAATACATAAAATATAAGAATATATTGTACAGCACAGGGAATATAGCCAACATATTAATTTTAAATGGGAGTGTAATCTGTTAAATGTTGAGTCACTATGTTTTGCGTCTGGAGCTAATATAATACTGTAAATCAACTATACTTTAAAATATATAAATAAATATATTTCTTTTAAAAAGAGATCCTTTTCACCAAGCCACTACTCTACAGCATTAACTGTGGGTCCCCTGACATATAATATTTAACTCCGACAGTAACGCAGCAGTGGAAGTATAAGCAACAAAGTCAGTGAGGCTCTGAGAGCTTCAGTTACAAAGCCAGCAACAGAGTGTCTGGGAGCAGAACCAGGAACTATCTCACAGCGAAGAGAATGTTCCTTCTCCTGACACTGAAATAAAGCTTTCTGTATCTGTTACTATTGCTTGTTCCTTCAATGAAAAGAAACAAATTCAGAGAACAATGAAAGGAGTAAGATGAACCTAAGAAAGACCAAGAACCCAAACTCACGGATGTGTCTCCTGATTTGTGAGTGACTGGTCTTCAATGGATCCAGATTCTAACTCATCATATAAGGTTTTTCTCCCACCTATCAAACCTCCTATATATATGTCTCCTCCATTCAATATCTCACCAAAAGAGAGGCAAGAAAATTAGCTGGCTTGCTGGAGCCTGAAATACAACTTTTAGTATAAAGTTTCAAGCTCGGATCTAGGGGTGTCTTGGGTGCACCCTGCCTCTGAAAAGGTTAAAGGGTGACTCCTTCAGTAACCCCAACTGCTTTCCAAATACCAGTAATCCATCTTAACATGGACTCGACCCACTAACGCAAAGCTAGGTTCTACCTCTTGCTTGGACTGGTACTTCTTTAACTCGGCCGTGCCATCTCCAATCATGAAGGCTTCCTGGTGACCGATAAGGCGGTTTTCGGTTTGGGTGAGGAGGTCGCAGATGCCCTGCAGTTTCTCTTTGTACTCCTGCTGACGCTCGGCCACCAGCTGCAGGGAAGAAAAGCACAGCCTCATGAACTGGCCCCCAGCTCACTACGGCCACAGCTGTTTACCACAACACATTCTGCAAGTTTCCTCTACACAAGCTTCCCTACGTATGCTGTAAACATAATAGCAGTGGGGTACACGCTGAACAAGTGACACAGAACGTCAGAGCGCGGCTCATGGACAGGGGAGGGGATCGCGTGTTGATGACGCCGCTCAACAGAGCACTGGCCACGCAAACGTGTGAGAGGTGGAGCTCCTGACCGACAGGAAGAAACATCCCATTTTCTGAAGCTCTTGAAACCTGCGACACACACAATTAATTCTGCAAAAGGATATCAAAACAGAAGTTAGTTGTGATCAGTCTGTGAGCATATATTCGTTATGTGTAGACAGGATATCATGCTGGAGACCACACTTGTGCTTCCAGAGGGAATTGAAGGAGTTTTGCACAAGTTCTCATGCCTTCATCACTGGGGCCAATTCTGTCCCACCTCTGCGCACTGTTGCTATTGAATGGACCACCCCAAATAATTCATTACATCATCCTAAGAGATTAATCCAGCCATTGCTTGCATCTTTCATCTTCCTATTAAATACACTCTAGTTACCCATTCTATAGCCATGGATCAGGTTGAACAGGAGCCTGACACATGCCGGGCAAGGTCGTAAGAGTTTTAATTCTTTCTTTCATTGATGCCCACGATACTACTGTGTAAGCACTGCTACAGTCTCCAATTTGTCAGTGAAATAACCGGTTCAGTGACCTGCCCCGGGTCCCCACAATGGGTGAGTGCTGTAAACAGCGTGTAAACTCAGACAGCCTGGCTCCAGAGCCCAGTCCCATCTTGCTGGGCCACCCTGCTCCCAAGAAGCAAAGACACCCTTAACCTTTGCTTTCCACATGCTCATCAATTTATCCCTGGACATTTCTCAGTGCATACACATTTGTTCCTCCTAAGGAAAAAAATTACAACTCTTTCCTAAAAACAGTAGTTTGAGGGAGTCATGGAAATTAAAAGCAACTAATTCTAGCCTTCTTAGGACCAAAAACACCTTTATATATTGTAGAATTGCTACATCACACCCTGTCCATTCACTGCCATTCCAGAAAACCCTTCCTATCTTTTCCTACCCACAGCCCCTGGGGTCTACATTACGGGTTTCACACGGAAGCGCTAAAAGCCAAGAATTTCAACTCCACAAAGAAAGGCAGACCTTCTGATGATCGAGATCTTGTTCTAGCTGTAACTGAGCCTCTAAATGTTCCACCTGGGTAGTTACTGAGTCCTGCACATGAAGGAAACCCTTCTGAGTTGTGTTTAAGAGCCTTAAGAGTTGTCTGCTTTGGGTGGGAGACAGATCTTGGGCGTATTCAGAGATGAAGAACTGCACGTCAAAGGCAACGGTCTCCAGCTGCGTCTTGGTGTGTCCGAGGTCTTTCAGCACATTCTGTGAACAAAGCAGTACTAGTTACGAACAGCAAGTGAAGCCACAGTAGAAAGTTTCTATCAGCAATAACACTTACTACAAAATACAGGGCTTTCCCAGGTGGCGCTAGTGGTAAAGAACCCATCTGCCAATGAGAGACATAATGAGACTTGGGTTCAGTCCCTGGGTCTGGAAGATCCCCTGGAGGAGGGAATGGGAACCCACTCCAGTATTTTTGCCTGGAGAATCCCACGGACAGAGGAGCCTGGGGAGCTACAGTTCATAAGGTCGCAAAGAATCGGACACGACTGAAGCGATTTAGCACGTACACATGCTTCTTCTATCAGGTATTCAAGCTTTTATAGATCTTTTTTCACGATTCACTGAGTTGAGCCAATCATTTGTAATGAAAGGTAGTAATGAAATTATTTCAATACTATGGTCATTAACATTGTATTTTTAAAAAAAAACCAACCCTCTCAGAATATTTCAACCTTGTCTGGTGGAAGTACTTAAAAAGTTAACTGAAGCAAAAGGTAGAGATCCAACCTGTGTATGTTTAGCACATTGAAGGGAAACATCAACATTAAAACATTACTTGCTAATACATACAACATCCATGGAATTGTGGCAGCACATACATGAGACCATTGAGGACTTAAGACGTAAGTCCCAAGAGGCCAGAATTTCAGTTTTCTGACTCACAGGCCAAGAGTGTCATTCCCTGCCATTCATGAGGGATGCGGTTCACAGTAACAACTTGGGGAAAAAGGTGTGACTAAATGACTAATACTATGATACAGCTACAGGACTGACTTAAATTACTGTATCTTTATGTGACTGATACATAAATAAATACATAAATACCAGTCTCAACATGCAGCGGTGGTTACAGCTTCATAAAGGCAGCAGGGAAAGACAGAATGACAGCTCTGAAGTGATCATCTTACTGCTGTATCAACTGTCAGCAAACATCTCTTACGGAGAAAGGAAATACGCCTTCACAGCATAAGCAGGTTACCTTTTCCCTAAACCTTTGTGATACTGAGTCCACAAGTTTTCTAGTGTACTGGGTCGGCCAAAAAGTTCGTTTGGGCTTTTCTGTACCATCTTACGGAAAAATCCTAACAACCTTTTTGGCCAGCCCAATACTTTAAAGGACTTCCCTGTGACTCAGCACTACAGAATCTGCCTGCAATGCAGGAGACCCAAGTTTGATCCCTAGGTCAGAAAGATCCCCTGGAGAAGGGACTAGCAATCCATTTCAGTATTCTTGCCTAGAGAATCCCATGGAGAGAGGAGCCTGCCAGGCTACAGTCCACGGGATCTCAAAGAGTCAGACACGACAGAGCGACTCACACACACACACGCTTTATCTTACTGATTTTGATACCTGCCTTGAGAAACTCCAAGCTTTGTTTTATGGGTTCAGTGTCTCGAACTGTCATGACCTCCACATCCTTCACAGATTTGCTCATCTCCGATATCCAACGTGAGAATGACTGAAGTTTCTGCAGAAACTCTTCATGGGAAACGGCTAATTTAGACTAGAAAATCAAAATTGCATGTTCATTTTTATCTTTCCCCACATTTTAAATTCCTACAAATAATGATCCTGTGTGAAGGGCTTAATGGTTTAAGAACAAATATTTCATCTTATGACTAAATTTTCAAACCCTCAACTTTCTCCCAAAAGCTAGATTTGACTTGGCGCGAGACGTTCTGGTACCTACCACCTCGGAGTCGATCGCCAGCGTTATATGGTTCATTCTTTCTGAAGACGCGGCCTGGAGGGATGAGAAGGCCGTCTGCAGATTCTGGAGGCTCACGCTCAGGTCCTCGAGGGGTCCCCTGGGGAAGTCACCCGGCACAGACTGTACAAATTCCTCTGCCAGCGTCATGTCTTTTCTTAAAATCACACCAATTGGAGCCAATCCCAATTCAAACGTCTGCAGAAAAAAATACGTATCTCGTATCTATTTAGTGAGAAACACACGTTTCTCACTAGCTGACCACCCTCCATAACCGTCAGCAGACGATTCTTACCTCCAACTGTTTCAGTTGGTCTCTCAAAGCTTGTAGACTGCCATCCTGGGAGTCCTGGCTGCCGAAGGGGGGCTTCATGTCTTGAAGCAAAGCCAAATACTCACACATCTTTGATCTGTGCTGTAAGCATTGCTGCAGCTCCTTGGAAAACTAAAGATAAATGTGGACATTTAATTCAATCGGCTCTGTGCAGATTTTTCAAGCAAATAAAATATATGTGATTATTCTCAAATGCTCCACGCAGCTACTTGCTTATAAAATGGAAAGTCTACTTACTTGCTCCATCGAGCTGTCTCCAGAAGCCAAGTCTTCTGACCCTGAAATACATTCCAAACGGCCTGGGGACGCAGCACATGGCTCCTTCCGCCTCCCATCTCTTGGCAAACCTGATGCACAGACAGGAGAGTTTTCCGGGGCACTCTCTTTCACACTTTGTAAATTTAGGGAACAGGGGTTTCCACCCTTGCTGTTAAATTCTTCAAGAATGTGTGGCTCCTCATCCGTCACCTCAGAAGCTGTAGGTGATTTTTGATTCAAGTCGCTACCCTGTCCTCCCTTCTCTGAATATCCATCAGCAAGCAGCTTGCAGAATATATTTTCAAGATGCAGAGGAGGAAGTGCAGATATCCCACCCTTTTTCTCCAGATCACACTCCATCTGAGTTAATTCTTTCATCAGTTCAAAAGCTCCTATAACTTTCTGGCTATACTGATTTTGCTTAAGTATATTGAGGAGAAATTCAGACTTGAGGTTTGCAATGCAGAGTGAATCCTCTCTGCTCTCTGCTTTTGATTCTGGTGAGTTTTTGGTGGGGGAAATGCCACAGCCACTGATGATAGAATCACTGGGCACACCAGTTGTTTCATTTACCAACTGTGATGAGCTACCTCTTGGAATTAAGGTTTGAATTAGAATGTTAGTATCTGCACAGGCTGAAGGTTTTCCAAGCTCTTGAGGAGTCATATGACCTTCTTTCAAACTACCTTTTAAGGTGTCCCTGACGTCCTCCACCAAGGCCTGAGATAGTTCAGCGACCTGCACCTCGCTGCCCTGGGCTCCTGGAGACGGAGCTGGTTCTTTCCCTTTCTGCTGCTCAATCCCCTCTTTCTTGCTGTTAATTTCTAAGGATGAGCAGTCACTGCTTATAGCCTTACTGGAGTTAGTTCTTACTCCATCTGCACAGAGTTCTGACTGTACAAAACCCATGTGTTTTCCAAGGCCTTCTGCATTTCCAAGAGGGAAGCCTGAAGGCGTGTTTTCATCTCCTGCTGGTGTGAACTTGGGAACTCCTGATCTGCTTTCTTCAGCAGGAAGATCTTTCTGTTGGGTCATCTCCTTTGGAGGTGAGTCTTCTTGGGCAAGAGCTGCCGTCTCATCTGCATTATTAACTCCTGAATGTAAATGCTCTTTCCTGGGAGAGGAAGCGACTGGAATACAGCTTGAGGTATCTTCACCTGGTTTCAGTACATCCTTTGCTTTCACATCTTTAGCACAATGCTTTAAGTAAGTAAACAGATCAAGCTCAT